CATGACTGGATCAGCAGCTGAGGATCGAGTTCATTGGCGCTTGTACTAAGTGGTTTCGGCTTAGGTTATATCTCAGGTGCATATGATAACAAAGCGCACAAAGCTCCTAACTATATGAGATAGTTATGATCAATGTTACAGCAGTTTGTTGCGGCTTTGCTTATTGGAACGCGGTATCTTCAGATTACATTGCAATATTTGTTGTTACACCAACACATCTTAAATGTACGGACAGATATAAGGGACATCCGAATTAATGAATTTATATCATGAATTGTGCTAATTTTTCTAACGTAATTAGCATTAAAGCTTTTCTGTAGTAAACACATTCTGTAACGGCATGAACAAGTATAGTATCCTTTTTGAAAAATTCGCTAACTGTTTATTATAGCTTCACATGCTAACGGATTTTTACGAAAAAATGCTATACATATCTAATATATAATACACTAACTCACTAATGTAATTCGAGTAAAAGTTGTACTAACTCATATAACTATCATATTTACATTAGAACCAATAAGAGCAACAATAAAGCTTTCCAAACAAAAGAAAAGTAGAGCCAAATTTACAAATAAATCTGTAAGTAAACTTAAGAGTGAAGAGGAAATTATAATTATGAAAACTTAACAGTTTTTATCCGATTTATCATTGTATAGAAAATAAATCAGTGCAAAACTACTATGACAGATTATAAATGCTATCAGCCAAAGCAAAAACAAAAACAACAAAAGAACATAAACAACATAAAATTTTAAATGAACATACACTACAACTATATTTCATAGATATATAAGGAGAGATTATGCAAAATATAGGCAAGACACAATTACAATATAGCGGAAGTTCAAAAATAAATCATGGATAGAAGGATTAAGTCTAGATTTATGTAAACGAAGTGATATTGTCAACATTGCAACAGAATTCTATACAAATTTATACAGTGACAGCAAGCAAACAACTAAAATATTAAAGAAAAAATCGACTGTAACAATATTAAACTGATAAATGAAAATGAAATTATGGATGCATATAACAACATACCAAATGAAGCACTAAAATTCGCGAACACGATACTAGCAGCACCATTAAGTGAATTGTTTAATTTGATTCTTCAAAAAGCTGAAACGCCATCCCAATGGTCGGAAGCAAACATCATACTAATTTACAAGAAAGGAGATCCAAAGGATATTGGCAATTATAGGCCGATTAGCTTGCTACCCAGTCTTTACAAACTTTTCTCTACTATCTTAAATAAAAGAATAAGCGCTATAATAGAAGTAAAACAACCGGTAGAACAGGCAGGCTTTAGAAAGGGTTTTTCCACAATTGATCATTCACACAATCGACTTAATAATGGAAAAATATCAAGAAAAACATGGATGTCTACATATAACTATCATATTTACATTATTAGATAGTACGTCGTACGAAAGCAAAATGTCACTTTTGCACCCAGTACGAAATTCAAAATTATATATAAATTCCTATGTATTCCAGTAATATTTATATTTGAGTACATAATCGTGACATAAAAATATCATAAGAGTTTATAATAGACCTACGTGAATAAAGATATTATGAAATTTGAAACACTTATGTATTATCTATTTTAGAATGTTTAGTAAGAGACCCTTAATTAGCGGACCACCAGGCAAGAGAAGTGACAACTAGGATGATATCAAACGAGTAGCTGGCTCAAACTGGACATTAGTAGCACAAAACAGAGACAAATGGACATCAGTTTCACTATTAGTAACAAATAGATTAATAATAATAAATACATATAGTAAATAATAATAATAATAAAAATACTTGAATAATTATAAATGAACTATATTTATTATGCAACAAATTATTCAACCACGCAATTAAATCTATTGGACTATCACATATATAGCCGATAATTCAATTCAATCAATTATCAAATCATTCGCAATAATTCTATGTAATATCCTTTCATGTCGTTTCACGTTTATCATAAATAATTAAAGAACTATTTTATGGAATACCTCGTTGCTAACTTTTACAATATTCACCTCTCTTTTGTCTCCGTTATCGATTCCCACAAGCTCAGTCCTTCGTAAGATGTTTTCCGGCTAAAACTGTGAGATATGTTAGTGGAATTACCGAGTACGGAGCCATGAGACCTTAGTCATCACAAATGGCTAAGCATAATAACGATATAACGTTCATGATATCTTATATAGCCTATGTTTACCTTTTCCTATTAGGTGGGTTTGTTTGCTATTTAAGTTACATAAAAAATAACTTAAACATATAATATACGGACATACTCGTATACTCATATATGTATATAAGACAGGTAGCGTGTTCTTCACTATTCTTTATCAAATTATAAGTTTAATCGGATCTTTATTATAGAACTTTGCCAAACAAACTTCCAACCCTCTTTCCAGCCGTCTAAAAGCAAAACTTCCTACCCATATCAATTACACCAAAGTGTATATTTACTAACTTTTCATTTAGTAATTTATACTTAAATTCGAACCTATTTTCAGTCGCTTATTTTTTTCTTATGTCTTAATGGAGGCATTATCTAGTGTCATTGTTCTAAAAACTTAAAAAATGTGTCTAAATATTTAGATTCCTACGTATTTTTAAAAATTTAAAGACACTAGTAAGTGTTAAATATGAGATTGGTAAAAAGACAGTGATGATTACGTAACAACAACAAAACTATATTACGCCAATAACAAAGAATATGTGATAAGAAATGGAAAATCATGATGACATAGCCTCTGATGACTTTTTACATAAATTGTATCCATATTTATAAATATTTACATATACTTCATTTGTGAAATGACAGCATTTATAACGACATTATGGTGATTCATACATTGAAAATTACATTTCTTCACCTTTTCATCAAGTCAATATATATTTTGTGCAAGAGAAGGAAATCTCGAAATAAAACCTTCCACCAAGCCTCTACGACGTGCTAATGAACTAAAATCTTTATTAGGATAAGTAGTCCTTACCCTACAATAGGCCATGTGGATTGTAATGATGAACAACTTTAGTCAGATATGAGTTTTTTTTATTAATTGCAAAATGCAAACTGTTACCGAAAATTTATATTATTTATGCTTATGTATTTGTTACTAGTGCGACTAACAACGGTCTTGTAGTTCCACATTGGTCAAGTATTCGAATGTCCCCGGATAGAATGTAATTTAATTAAGTTGAAAATTGCATAGTCTTGTCTCGTGCATAGCAAGCTGACTAAAATGAAATATAGCGTGGACTGTATACCGGCTCCGCACATTACGCTATCCAGCAGTAAAATGGCTGAGAGAAGTCCGTTAAGTCGAAAAAGGAAGCACGTCTGATGTTAAACACTACTTTTAAAAGATAGTTTATGTATTTAAAAAGTAGAAAAGCTAGTTTCTTTTTGTTACGCTGTTTTTGATGACTCTTAAAATAAGAAAAGAAAATTAACAATTAACAACCCTAAAAAATTTACGTACTTAAAGACTAATGTGCATGTCAAAGGATAAAATTCGAATATTAAATACAGATAGTTCGCAGTAGACTCGAATGCTTTTACTGTTTATTTGTTGTTTCAATAAACATCATTGTTATCGATATTTAAGTATATTAATCGTTTATTGACAGAAACATCATAACAATTTGTGTTCGCTCGAAAAACAGACGATTTTATCGGCTAGTTGCTGCAAATGCAGGCAATATATGCAGTACCTTTGTTGCAAATAAATGGATATGTTATATTAGTATTTATTTATTTTAAATTGTTAATAAGCTTTCTATACACGTATAGTCTCAACTATTCAGTTGAACTGTTTAGTTAAATAATTGTTTGTTTTGATAAAGTGACAATCAATAAAGATGCACTTGCAAGTATGTGTTTATAACGATACTAATTACAGTATATTTGTGTTCTTCTGATTTTTTAAATAAGTATTTTCGCTGTCATACTTTGAGGAAGATGTTGTCACTAGTTCTCTAAACTAACAATCCTGTTCCTCCCAGTAATTTACACAAGTGGCCTGAAGCTAGTAAAGGAATCAGGTACGTCCCTCGAAACCTTTCTGGCTAATTCCTAGTGAAATTGTCATAAAGAGCTGACTACCTGACCTTATGGTCCTATTATCCTGCACTGTGCCCCACCAGCGTATACTGTTAGAGCAAGCGAATGCTCAACTTCATCATCATCCATTAAAAATGTCTCCGTTACTAAAACCACCCATTCCCCCTGTTGTTGCAGCTTAAGAGTAGTTTATGATAGTATTGTTTGCAAATTAAAAGACAAATATTGTACTAGAATGTAGTGCAATGTGCGAAGAGGCTTATTGTTATCTAGAGTTATCTCGCGAGTGCTGAACCGAGTTAATTGGTACGTAAACATGATTCTCTGTATAATCCAAGCTGACTAATATTATTATATGCCGGTTTATCCGGATATACCAACTTATAATACCGAGTGACTCTTCAGATGTGACGATAATGTTATGAGATAATTATATTATTATGAAGCGAAAGTGATTATTATGGAAAGCGAATGATATCAGTTATATTTCATTAATACATAGTTCAGTGAGCAAATGTTATAGGATATTTGGTCTTTAATATAGTAGTAGGAAATCTTACACAAAATTGAAATACTAAAATAATAATTAGTAAACAATATAGTTTTAGTACTTTTTGTATGTTTATTATATATTAAAACGTGTTGTATTCACTTTCAAACGCGCTCATATTTTAATATAAAAAAAAAATCTATAATTATGCAATATTAAATTGAGTATATTCCCCTAATTGTTTGTTTAACTACTTTTTCGTTACATACATATTTAATATATTTTAAACATAAATATTTATAATAATAAATAATATTATCTATTTAATTATTATACATATATAAAACAAGACACGACTTCTACAACTATTAGAAATATAAAATTGAAGCAATTTGGAATGCTATTTCTTTACTAAATGTGTTTTTTTCTTTACAGCACGAGAATATACATACGGGTCACATCATGTCACGAGATTACGGCACTCGCGACACTTGGATGGGTATATGCCTATGCACCCAGCTTCCGTGAGTATCTTACTGCACTAGAATCATCCAATCATACATCTGTATCCAATCAATCCGCCCAAAAAAGCTTGACCCCCATAGAATTTTTAATTAATTTAATGCTTATTTATTTTATATGATAGACGTGTTGCATGTTCAGTATTTACACTTTTATATTATAATGTATGTATGGTATTTGCTATTATAATTAATTCAACAAGCTTCGATGGATGAATGTAAGTATTATTGTATATATTTAATAAATCACTGCTCATTTTTATGCTAACACTGTTTATAGACTCTGGAAAAGGTATACTTTATTTTATATTATTATGTAAATATATTATATTATTAAATGCTTTTTTTAGACTTAGTAATTATTAATGACGACTTATTTATAACAAACATGTGATTATAGTTTATTTAATAATATAATTTGAATATATAACCTCATTGCATCTTAATTCTGTCTTAAGGTTTGTCTTTTTATTATATATATTTAATTAATAAAATATTATAATATTTATCAATTATATAAGTAATATAAATTTTGAGACAAAAGTGTTAAAATGCAGTGTAGCGAATATGTTTTTATAGAAACTTATTATAGACTTAACTTTGTTGTAATTTATCAAAATTGATATTGATATAGAAAATAAGAATTGTTCAAATTATTAAACAAAAAAATTCCTAAATAAAAATAAGTGAATAATTATTATCTCATATTAATAAGACCATTATCAAGAATTGTTATTTGCATTAGTGGTTATTGGAATCTTATAAAAAGAGTAATTTATTTTTATGTTAATAAATAGATATATAATTAATGCAAAAAATAAAAAATGAATATTTCATAGCATATAATATTAATAAAATAATATAATATAACATATAATCCATCATTTTCATATGAAAAATTTATTCGATTTATGAATAGTATATATAATATAAACTTTTCATAATTCACACTGGGCATATAGTAGCTATCTTAATAATTTTTAATCCCGTGATTCCGTATTTAAATTTTCTATCTTACGTGATTAGACCTTAATTTCGATTCCCTTATTTTTTTGTTAATTTTATTGGAATGTAGATATACTTAATATTGACGTAGAGGCATGATACGATGCGTTCACAGTTTGTACCGGCATACACACCGAAGTTGGCGGTCAAAGACAACCACAAGCCTCTATTCACGGAGTGCTTGAACTATAGGCCATCCGTAAAGGAAGAGCAGCCGGTCGGGACTTACGTATTTACGGTAAGAATTTGTCTTATATCTATGTATACACTATATCTGTTAATGGGGTAAGCAGAGGGAAAACAGGAGGGCTTTCCAATACTAAACTCACGCTTCATTCAAATTACAATTAATCATAATTATGTTTACATTAGCATAGGTAGATTAAAAAGTCGTCTGCGAGAGGTACCTCAGTCTGACCTGACACCTGTCAAACATCTTGCTTTGTAAGCTGTGTTTCAGTTGTAGGGTGAAGATTAGGCTGTGGCTAAAAATTACAGGGTAAGAGGAATGACGTCTTAGTCAATGATGTGAGTGGTATTGTGTGTGTCATATGATAACGTTATGTCTGTTGTGCTGTATCATATTCATCTATATAGGCAACGATTTTCGCTAATTATCAGATGGGCCGTTAGCTAGTTCGCCATTCGAATTACGTAAACAAATAATGATTTTATCAAATTTGCATATCATTTTTCAGTTTTTATGTCATATCATTCATTACAAATTTTATAAAAAGATTTTTTTTATTGTTTGATTACAATGTTTAGCTTAAAATAAAAACTACTATTTGAAACGTACATTATTCCAGATTGCCATAAACTATGTATTATGTTAATAGACATAAAACTCGCACAGTTATGAGAACTTTTATGTAGTACTGGGGTGTTTTTTTTTTGTATCTGATTACCGTGTATAGTCTTTTTATATGTATTTAAGCATAGAACCTCAGTAGAAAATACATCTTCATAGTTGGGGATACATTAAACGTATTTGTGTGTATATTTAGGTTATTTTTGTGAATTTTCAATTAAATATATACTTCAGGTCCACGCTGAAGACCGCGATCCGCCTGAGATGGGTGGTACAGTCACATACCAGTTCGTCACGACTCAAGGAGAGAAGGAGAGATTTCATGTGGATCCAGTAAGCGGAAGAATCACGACGGCAGATGTTAGTTTATTCATTTTTTATATTTATTAAGTAATAAGTGCTATCTCCCACACTCCACTCTGATTACCTTGCTAGTGGGAGTCTCTGAAAGTTTATATCAAACGTAATAATGAAAGGACATGAATTATAATGTATAATTGTAAATATCTACATTACGAAGAAGAATAATACAATAAATGATTAAAGTAAAAGAGGTCAAAGCCTACAGCAGGCCCACATAAGGCTTATAATGTTACTAGGTATTGTTAATTATCATTTTTACATAACGTACCTAGTGCTACCTGAAGCTGTAGAGAAAATAGAGAACATATTAAATCTCGAAACTATGCTCATAAATATACTATTTTGGGTTTGTATTAGCGAATATCTTTATGGTTACATGTGGGATTTAAATGACACTACTGATTCTAGAAAATTATAAGTACTTAAGATGTTTATATGACTAAGTTTAATATATTCATAAAAATTATAATTTCTCTGTTTCTTGATTTCAAATAATATAAAACCAATCAGCTAACTTATACATCTCATGGAGGACATAAAGGTACGTACATTTACCGCAATTAATTTGATGGATACAATTTAAGAAAAATAATTGTTATTTATCAGGTATTCGACCACGATGAACCTGCGAGAGAAAAAGAAGCATATATAACAGTAAGAGCGAGTGACAATGGCCAGCCACATTTAGATGATGCTTGCACAATTAAAATACTAATAGAAGATATTAATGACAATCAGCCGGTTTTCGACAAAGTTGTAAGTATAAATTTATATATTTCAATTTGTTTCAATGAAATCTTATTTATTAAATAACTTATTATATCTAAATTGAGTCAAAATTTATCATTATTTACTCTAAAATTTATTCATACAAATCTGTGTTGATTATTTCAATAACATTAATATTTTAATTAATCTAGTAAATACTTTCTAAAGGTTATAACCATGATTTTCATTGCTAATCTATCCAATTCATTTAGCTGTTCTAAAGGTCTTACTTGGATAAATATGAATTTACTGATGTTTTATATTTTATTATTCTGTATATAATAGACATGTGACTATCTACTTTTCTTAAGCATTTATTGAAATTAGAGAATAGACATGATGTACATTTTGAATTAAATCTTACATTTTCCGAAGGTCTTCCGAGGAGATGTTTGGAAGGTTTGTCTAAAAGAGTTTCACAGAAAGAGAGATTTACGCACAAATATTTTTAACTTGTCACATCATCTTGTATTTCCTCGATCGTTACCACTTCGTTCCACTTAACAAAACACCCTCTTAAAATGTTAACGGTTAATGTGGTAACAATCGAATCGTGAGATCTTTTGTGAATTTTCTATTTTTCTACTTGCATGTTGCTGCATGATTGATTTAGGATCGTAAGCCGCCACTCAAGGCGATATTGGTAATAATAATTTTATGTGTTCTAGTGTGTTAAAATTCACTTTCTTTGCACATTTGTAGTAAGTGTGTTTTCTTTAGCTAGGCTGCTCTTTCCCCCTAGGCGCATTTTATCACAATGCACGATTATTATTATTTTGGAAAAACTTTCTCTAAGCTTCGGGCATGCTTCGCGTAGGTCGTTAGAAGTGATTTTTATGAGTTAAATTGTAATTAAATTACTCGTTATTATTATTCTCACAGATCAGCAGAGCCAAATATTTTAACTAAGATTTTTACTACCGACCGAATAATAATGGTTTCAAAATTTGAAATTTATTCTCTATTTTAAGGTACTCGTGTAATGTTACGAATTCCAGGAAAATTTTATAAGGCATATATATGTTTTATACTTCTGTTTTAAGTTTTAAAGTTTATCATTCTATGGATGATTTAGCGAACCATCTGTAATTATAGTATTTATTTTATGGCACAGTCATATATGGAGTCAGTACCTCAAGATTTACCAAGCGGCCGTGAGGTGATGAGGATATCAGCTACTGACATTGATGATGGAAATAACTCCATAGTCCATTATAGCTTGGACTCTAACTCACCCGACCAATCATACTTTTACATAGACCCTGATAATGGAGTCATATTTTTAAATAAGTCTATTGATGTAAGTATACATAAGTATTTTTTACCTAAAATTTTTAAATAGCATATTTTATTGGTTATCTTTTACTAATTTACCTTACCGTCCCTCACAGAAAGTGCCCGGCTACAAATTTAAGCTAAGCGCGATAGTAAAAGATATGGGCGATCAACCCCAACAGAGTTCAATAACTTTAGATATCCAAGTCGTGGAATCTAACAAGAAAAGCCCGTCTTTCATAGAAGTTCCCGATGCACCGATTAGATTAAAAGAAAATTACGCCGATTTCAAGACGCCTATCGCTACAGTTAGAGCTATGTAAGTATAACTTTCCTCTTAAAATTAAATGAACTAGAAATTAGTAAAGTAATATGCCTTGAGTTGTTAACTCCGTTATTAAATTTCATGGCCCAATTTTATGCTTCTTAGTGAGGACATTTACTAAGCTTTTATTAACTAAATTATAATTATTTCTCACTTTTCATGAAAGCTACTTAAAAATTAAAACAAACTTGTATCATTATGGAATAGTATGAAAATCAAGAACAGAAGTATGAATATAGATTTAATACATTTGAAATTTATTTGCAGATCCAATATACCTGAAGAAGAAAAATTACAATTCGAGTTAGTGATGGGTCAAACAGAACAGACAAATAAAAGACACACATTTGTATTGGAACCTGAAGCTAATACAGCTTACATAAAGCTTGGTAATCATTTAGATTATGAGAAAATCACTGATTATACCCTGACTGTTAGAATTCAAGTAAGTGTAAAGGAATTATTGTGTTTGAACTGAATTAAACTTTTCGTACCTTTATGACATTAATATTATTGTTTTTTTTTTTAGAATAATTACAAATTAGCAGCAGAAACAATTATTCAAATTGAAGTTGAAGACGTAAACGACAACATCCCCATATTCAGTGAAATTAGATCTGGAAGTGTATTAGAAAACGAGCCACCGGGCACACCAGTAATGCAAGTTCGAGCATTTGATGCTGACGGAACGTCGGCTAACAATCAAATTACCTATCGTTTAGGAGATCCTTCAGATCCATTTGAAATAGATCCTATTACGGGTAACATTACAACACTAAAAATGTTCGATAGAGAAGAAAAAAGTTCCTACAATATCAAGATAATAGCAACTGATAATTCTGAGTCAGCACTTATCCCTGGGAAACATAACGCTGGTCAGCAGTCGTTCTTGATTGAAATTGCTGATAAAAATGATAATCCTCCACATTTTCAAAAAGATACATATGTTGCCGAATCGATAGCTGAAAACGCTAATACGAATGAACTTGTCACCGTGGTAAAAGCTGTAGATGTTGATACAGGTAATTTATGTACATAATAATAATAAAATGAATTATTTGAGCAGTGTATATTATATAATTATAACATATTACGCCGAACCCAAATAAATGGGATTAGGAAGAAGCACATGAAACTATGTATCATCTGTTTATTCTTTTTAAAATTGCTGTCTCAACCACTTTCACTGCCCATAAAATATATGGTGAAGATTTGGATAAAAGTAATATTTATTTTCTTTTTACAGCTTCCGTAATCAGCTATAGCATTGTTGCTGGCAATACATATGATGCGTTCGTCATCCGAAATTTCACTGGCGAAATTCGTGTTAACAACGAACTAGATTACGAAAATATTACTAGTTATAGTCTAGATGTTCGTGCTTTTGATGGTCTATACGAGGACTATGCTAAAGTAATAATTAATATTGAGAATGTGAACGATAATCCTCCCGTCTTCCTGTCCAACTATACTAAAACTATTGAAGAAGAGAAATTGTATGAAGGATGTATTGTCAAGGTATGATTTTAGATAAATAAAAACGTTGTTTATTCAAACAACCTCATTCGTGTAAAGACAAAAACGACATTAATTTATAGTTAGTAAAAATTACGGGATCTTACCACGTTTTATATATAAAACGTATAGAAGGTGGTAAGATTCCGTCATTTTTAGTAATTATACGAATAAATAATGACTGCGTCAAAATTAAAACAGTATATTAATGTATAGTATTATTAAATTTGGTGTTAATTTTTAAAATCCATCTGACAGATATAAATTAAAATATTTTATTGTAAATTTCATTGCGTACTTATGCAATCTGTATCTAATATATTTTTATTTTTTTAGGTGGAAGTTTATGACCCCGATATAAAAGACCGGAATGCACCCCAAAACATAGTCTACTCTCTAGTAAACGATGAACAAAAGGAATTCCTCCAAATTGACAATGATGGTTGTTTGCGGCTGTTGAAGCCATTAGACCGAGACCAGCCTTCTGGTTTCACGCGGTGGCAGGTTCTGGTGACAGCTACTGACCACGGAGGCAGACCTGACAGCTTGAAAACCACCACAGAAGTTATATTGGAGCTAACAGACATTAATGATAATGCGCCTTTCCTGACAAACGTAAGTAATTTTAACATTGACATAGTCGTAAACTTTACTAATAAACTTTAAAAAGCTAGTTGTTTTTATGAAATATTTTTAAGATGAAGATAGAAGATTATTACAGTATTTATGAGAATAATGGTAATCATTCAATCAAGCTAGTTATCTCCTGTAAATTTCAGAAGCCGCATCTAATGCGAGGTCAAGTCAATTCAATTTCTAAAGACATAGTGATATTCTAATTATGAACAATCGCTATTTATATTATTGTATATCTGTTTTAGTTTATACTAGATTTTCCTAAGTTGATTACCTCAACAATTATTTATGTTAAGCGTGCAGTTTGATTTGTTTGTGTGTTCGGCACCATGACCTGATCCTGTCTCTACTTTTAGATGGTTACAATTCTACATTCCATCAGAATGAGTCGTCACCTAGTTTGCCATCCTGTTACATAAAAAATAGCAATAACATTTTTTTGTCTTTGAATTTATTGCTTAAACACATGGATAAGTAAACAGTGGTTAATTTGGAAGATTTAGGAATGTACCGGACCATAAAAATAAGTAATCTGAGGGCAGCCCTCACGTTATTTATTTTCGTCGCTTCATTTACCTGAGAACTAAAATAGGGTTGCTACAGTTCAATTTATTTCCATGTACGAGTTTTCTTTTTAGAAAATTATATTTTCCTAATCTATTTTATGTTTCTTGCGCGATATGGTCGGAATGAATCCAGTACCAAAGGCCTCTCGTATAGCAATCCACTGTTAACTATTAGTCATTGAGTTTTATTCTTAGTTATCGTCTTGGTTTATTAACTTTAATACACTTTAATAATTCTTCGGTTCTAGAGACCCTTAACTCATTCACAATCTATATGATCAGTATGAGACAGTTCAATCTGTAGAAATAATATCTTATCATATATAACTCAATATTTATTTGTTCTTTCATATTTCATTCGTTGTCATACTGTTTCTTACTTATGTTATGATAAAGTTTTATCGCAATGGAATCAACGTATTACTCTGAAACTTCTTCAACTTCTTTCTTTCGTGATTATTATAGATATAATACAAGCCTATCGATATTATAAACTTATATAGAGAAAAACTTTGATTTTAAAAAATCTGTCTTTTATTGAAAGTTATATTTTCTTTAAAAAAAATGGTATCCCTGCAACAATTGCACCCGTGCTAACCCGGGATGAGGTCGCTAGTAAATAAATAAATAGAAGAGGAAATAAGGTGTATAAAAATGATTCCAACTCAGTTTAGTATCTGTGTAGGCTCGTAAAACTAGCCAACACGATTTCCACCCCATGTTCGGGGCGTGAATATTTTGATGTACGCATAATATAATCTATGCCTTCCGCGCGGTACTCCTGAGGGAGCCATTGTCCTTGAACCTTGTTCCACAACCCTGCGTAGCAAAGGATCTTTTTATCAAAGGGATTTTAATATATTCAGTAAATTCGAGTTTGTAAAGTGGAGCTGAAACGATTAGTATTATGTATCTAAGTTTTAAGGTTTTTAATTTTGAATCTCAAATGATTCTATCCGCTTTATTATACTTTTTTTTTTATTAGATTTTTGTTAGATCATTATTATTAAAGACAAATTAAGAATGCTGTTTTTAGTTTACATAATTTATATACCTTCACAAGTAATATGCCGTGTAAGGTAGTCAGAGGCATAGTCGAATGTTGACGTCTTAATAAATAATTCACGAACTCACATTTAATTTAGTAAACTCGTATTTGTATAATCGGACGTGGAAGAGGACGGATCGTGCTCATTTTAGATTGTTATCGGTGTTTCGGATAGTCAGAAATTTAAATTTATACAGGAAGATTTTTTATTTAGTATGAGTCAGATTAGAACTCACGTCCTTTTGGTGCAAGTTGATGTAATAACCACTAGCCTACGATTGTTTCCAATCAATTTGTTTAAAATTGTAAAGTTATTAATTAAACTCCTAATTAAAATGGTAATTTTAGTGTCGATTCACAACAAACAAAAAAATTTTATTACTTTTGTTTTACGTAATTGGAAGGGCAAACTTCATTTGTGACAGCGGCGATATAAAATCTCTAATTTCGAAATCCTATATTAAAATAACCCATAGCTGATATCTACAAACGAAACAATACAGTACAAACTCAAACGCCCTTTTCAAATCACGGATTTCTTTTACTGTCTGCCTATTTATTTTTATTTCGTTTGATACAGTCATTAATTCCCTTTTCAATCTACCTTTTACCTTTGCTCGTTAAAGAACATGCAATTTCACCTTGTAAGAATCATTCGGGCCGCTTTATAGACCATTTTAAAAGAATTGCTATCGATAAATTTCAATGGAGCCATCATGGGTAAACCTTTTTGCGGAAGCAGAGGGTTTCAGCGCGTGTAATACACCTACAGGCTTTTATAGGAACGTCTCTCTAGTATTATAAAATATAAGTGTGGTGTCCGCCCATTTTAATACCGATTGATGCTTCACTTGATACGAGTATTATGTTATATACTGCTGTAATATCAATAATCTTGATTAATAGTAATTTACGAGGTAGACTTTGTTAGCACACGGTCTTATATCCGATGATTGCAGGTTTGATTTCTCGCACGATACAAACATTTGTATTTATAAGTATGATTGTTTGTTATTTGTGATTGTTGGTAATTATTTTTGCGTGTTTGCCGTGTTTCGGTATAAGGGCGGTGAAATTATAATGTTAAGAATTATAATGATAAGACAGTGAAACTATAGGATATAGGCATGACATTCTTGTCCTCCGGAGTAGCAACGTGTTACTGTTAATGAATATAGGCGACGGTTACCACTTACCACCAGATTGGCCGTAGGGTTGTTTGATTTTCAATTGCGTAAAAAAGTTTACGCTTATAATTATTATAGGCTTATCACTTTCCATCTCGTATGCAATTAGATTGACTACTTGAAGACGTATATATTGTTTTTTTTAAATCAACCACACTATTGTACTTTAATTGCTTCACGTGAATTCTATGTTCATAAGTAATTATCCTTAGAAAACGATTGAAACCTTAGAAGACGAAATGAAATCGATTTCGTGCAGTGTTCATGAAATTTAATGAACAAGTATGTGAATAACAAATCTATGCTCTTATAGATTATTATTTATACTTGTTATTTTTTCAGCTATTAACGATACAGTTTCCATGACTAGCCGTTTCTCGTGAAATCATCTATCATTATTATTACATAGTATAAAACAAAGTCGCTGTCTGTCCCTATGTATGGTTAAAACTTTAAAATTACCCAACGGATTTTAAAGCGGTTATTTTTAATAGATAGAGTGATTCAAGAGGAAACTTTATATATATAACACAAGTACACCCGTGCGAAGCTGGAATGAGTAGCTAGTTTTTTATAAAACAAGCATATGCCCGTAGTTATATAATATTCTTGTTAAATTTTATAATAGTCTATTCAGCTGTTTTGACATGAAATGTAACAAACAGACCGAGAGAAGGACGCAGTTTTTTACTAGCATTAATATAATATTATTAATATGGATTTAAACGAATAGCATAATGTACTGTATCCAATATCTGTAGAAGAAAGTGCAACTAAAACTTACGGAACCAGTTTAAAGTAGCAAGTTAAAGATATGGAAGATAAAACATAATAATAACTATAAAAAAATTATATGATTTGTTACAAACACACTTTTTCACGATAATAATTTTTATTTCACAAGATCAGTTTAGTGAAATAGTTTTTTGTAAACAAAAAGTGAATAAAAGTGAATTTTTTGTTTTTTTATTTTGCGATTTCTTGGCAGTGCATTTGTAGTTTTTAATTAATGGTTACGAAATTTACAATAAATATATTTTATTGTATTGTAATATATTTAAGCGATTTTATTGTAATGTATTGATTGTGCAAGCTTTGGTTAACAGTAAGACGGTACCTATACGTTTATCTGTGCATCAAAATTCGCGCCGCAGTGAAGGTCTCTCCGTATTACGGACTAGCTTATTTCAAATTCTGGTATCCACTCGGATAAATTTCCCTTACTTAGGGTTGCTACACAGAATATTCCAATTATAAAATTTAATATTAAATTCATAAGCCTTTTAAAATACTAATAATTGTGTTTTTAAATATTGTAATACTAAATAGAGAATTAGGGCTTACCTTATTTATTTTCTAATATAACAGTGTACGATAAATATATAAATAAATACGTGTACCGTTCTCTCTGTTAGATGATAATGTAGCTGAAGAATATTTATCATGTTTATATGTATCTTCAAAAATAATAAAGTTTCTTTAAGGGCGACATCAAAAATATGTAAGGGCACGAAAAACTGTCTTTGTATTCGCATCCACCATAATTAATAACAATTAACTAAAAAATAAGCAAGTTTTATTTTATTTAAATTAAATCTTAATATTTTATATTAGCTGGTAGATAATGCTGACTGATTAAGCCCGCCTATTGTCAATAAAATTTAAATAAATAAATATTAACCAAGCGTTACAAAATATATCGATTGTTAATTGACAACCCTACTCGATATCTGTAGATGATCCCCATCCAGATACGATCAGAAATTGAAGGCTTTTTGCTTAAATTATGTATCATCAAACTTGTGGCAACCCTATATAAATTCGGGATTAAGAAAGCTATCTAGCTTCACAGAATCATTTGGCCGGCGGTTCGTTACAACCACTGCGCTTGTCAGCGTTTATTCAGTTGATGATGTCACTACGCTACTATCAGAGTCGGCAAATTACCCACACATTCCAGTAAAACAAATGATCTTTACATATTAAAAAAATAACATAATACGTAGACGAGCAGAATTTTTTATTTTACTAGTTGGATGCCCAGATTTCGCCTGCTTTTTTGAAATAAACGATATCTTTTGTCCATCCTATGCTGTCCACATCTATATTCATGACTTTCATTAAAATCCATTTTACAATTTCAGTTGTTAAAAGGTCCACGCTACACTACGCCTTTCGAATTCATAATGTTAGTTTAATCATAATTCGTTCAGATTAGTAAGAAGTAGATTAGTACCTCGAAATAAACATGTATCCAAAAATAAATTAAGTTTGACAACCTATAATTATATAGTTATAATTATATAGATAATTTATATAGTTATTATTTATATATTTCTTATGAAATTTTCATTTTAAAATAAGTAGGTAGCAATAACAAATTATATTTATCAAAAACATACTGTCGTACGTAAATACACATTATTATACATTATATCATATGTGTCTGTCTGTCATTGAAAATCCCTGTGACAAGGGTACGAGAATCGAAGTGAACACTTGTTTTAGACGCCGTTATTTATGTGTCAAAATGGTTCCCTACATGTTTTGTCATATTCCGCTACATTATGTACAAAGTTTGGAGTTTATGTTTTCAAAGTACGTACATTCTATCGGAAATCCTTTTAGTATTACGGAAGTTTTACGAAACAAAACTAGACAAGATAGTTTATGTTTCTACTTAAACGACATTATAAGTACGTTATTGAAACTGCGATAGATACTCACCTACTACTACTAACATAAAAGTGTTATTAGTAGATAGTATAAATTAAGCGATTTTCTAATTCATTTTTAGCGTTTTGTTAGCTTCACAAAATATGATCCCGTTTCACTAATGACATATGAGCCAGTGGGGCTCCGGTAAAGTCAGGATGGACTCATAAATACTATCGATATTATCAAGTATATAATAATAACAATAGTGTACAATGGTTAATAGTGTACAGTTTTCAAACAATTTGAAAAATAAACGTATTTTTATTATACTTATTTAAATTTAAAAATCCTTTGGATCTCTAATACCTTGATTGTACTCTACTATAAACTACTGCAATCCTCGTCAATTATGATATAATAATCTTATTTGGCAATTATAGAATACGATCAATTTTTAACGATTTTACTTAAATATCACCGTTTAAGCTAGCTTCAAACACAAGCATTTTAATTTCTAAACGTATCCAGTAGGGTAGATGTTTATAATATTAGTTAAAAGTAATATATATGGAAAATAAATTATTTCATTTCTAACATACTCGTCTTTGCCGACCCCACGAAAGGTTGGCGTGAAAATGTGTAAATAGATCACAGTCATGCTCATTATTGAAGGTAGCGCCGCTCATAAATCTATCCAAAATTACCTTTAACGTGTCGAATTTACCGTTCCTCCAAAAACACGCATAGAAAAGCTCTCCCATTTATTATGCTCAGTACATTAGCATATATTTTAAAGGATATCTTTACCTTTAGCTGCCATCGTCTTGGGTATACCCAATTGTCAATTTTTCATGCAAATCACCTACTTATGGGCATTCAATTTCTTATTTTAGAGCCATCCCTGAACCCCTGGACCTCGAATCGGACGGATACCTTAATTTCCATCTCGATTTTCCTGAGAGCTTTCCCTTGGAGAAAACATTGAGATAATGTCTATCTAAGTATAGATAACGTTTCCGCCGTGTTTTTATGTTGAAATCAATTGCTCACTTCTCCATTGTGTATGATTGTTAGTTCAGTTCGATAATTTTACAATTTAGTATTTATTGAATTGAATAAGATAAATTTATTTATAATAAAATCAGAAGTATTTAAAATTAGGAAAATCCTGAGACTCAGAAACCAGTCTTTCTGTATAATTTATTTACGTGTATAAATCTTATGCTGAAAGATTTTTAAAATTCCAGGCCGGGCTTACAGCAGTTTCGTTAGTAGCCAGAATATTAGATTAAACCCCAGGCAATTCTGTTAAGTTACGTAGATAAAGAATTTAACATTCTTTGAAAGTTAATTGTTTATGGTTTTTATACAAGTATGCTGGTTGTATCATAATATAATTATGTTTACTCCCAAAGCAAATCCTTATTATTAAATCAGGTATAAGTGAAAAGACCAAAGCATAAGAGTTGGAGTAAAAGAGTGCTGGCGTAGTTTTATCGATTTTATATCTCTATTTAAATTAATTTTGAGGTGTACTAATGAGTTCCTTGCAACACATAATAAACTGAACATAGAGAGCTGGGGAGAGCTCAACACTTTTGGGCCAGCAAGCTGTTTCCTGGCCTATGAATGACTGTCCATTAGTTACTACCTCTCTTAATGATTTTCTATGTATAGCAAGGCCAGGGTTTTAGCCAAGCACGTACGAAATACCCAATTTTAATCAACGATAATATACGAAAATCATAGTTGACCCATTTTCGTACAAAATTGTACGACGATGAAAATGTGCAGGTACAAACACCCAAAAATCTCATATTTCTACGAAGATCCTCGTATGGTTGGTATCTCTGGCTAATACAATCTTGTCTGTTTATATAGTGAAGCTACAGATCGCATAGTGTTGCTTGATGTCCGTGATATTCAACACATATATAGGGAACGATGACTATTTTTCATAATTTTTCTATCTAGGTCTTTACTGATAACTTTATTGTTTTTTTTATACATTTTGGTACTTAATTTATATATATATATATTTCCAGACCCAGCCAGTTATTTGGTATGAAAACGAGCCTCCAAGCCGACCTATCGTCACCCTCACCGCTAAAGACTACGACTCTCCGGAGAACGGACCGCCCTTCGAATTCGCTCTTAACGACTCTGCATCTATAGATATACGATCTAAATTCCAAATACAAGGTAAGTAAAGCAGTCTATTTAGTACAAGGAGACCCGAGACAATTTTAGTAAAAGCTTCGTTAGATATCCCGAGATCTCATTTATAGTTAGGCAAATAGATTCAAGGTTGTCGTGTAATATTTTTGATCATATTATGTTTCGTAAAAATCAAGTAATACCCAGGAAAATACTAACAGATATAATCATAAGTACGATTATTTGTTTTAAACCATATCTGTAACAATGTAGAGAGAGTCAGTGCAGAATTGCTATAAATTTTGGAAGTTTGTAGTCAAATAATATAACTACACTGGCAACTAAATACGATGGTGGCAATTGGTGTGACAAAGCCGCACTTGATGGGCAAAAGCTGTAATTGCGGTGTCTCCACTTATTACGTTAATACATAATAACTCAATGTAGAAAAATAGGTTTAAAAAGCGGCCCACATTTAAATTCTAAATGATCAAGATTCCGAGCCGTTCTCGCAATTTCTCTACAATCCAACAGTTCCGTTCATTCAGTACGAACATTTCTAGGAGCTCCCAAAATCGAGTTTCGATCAATTAATGTAGTTAACATGCAATAAATGGCGCGCCAAGCCTAACTGTAACTTTGTTTGCGAAGTGCCAATTGAATTTTAGTCCTTTCCCTGCTTCGTCGTGTTGATAATTCAGTGCTCGTGTTTGTGATTACGTACCTCTCTAACTTAAATTATTTTTATAGGCCAAGTTTATTGGCATTGTCATTGGAAATTGTTCCAACCTAAACACTAAGCTTTCAGTAGTTAATTTTAAATGAATCGGAATATCACAATATTTCATATCTTAGTCAAGAACACCTTTGTAGTAGTATTTGTAGAGTTTTTATGACACAATCATCTTGCTTTCTTCAACTTTGATAACACGATGAAAAACTTTTTACTATAGTATTTACCATGACTATGATTGAGATGTATAAAACTAGATAATATAATAATAATAACTCAGGACAATTCAAACATTGTCCTCTAGTACCAAGCTAAACAGAGTTTATGTTATGGGTACTGGACAACTGGTACATACACACAATACAATACATAGATACATACATTTCGATTGTATTGTCAACAGGAAATGTCCTCTCAACATTGGTTACCTTCGATCGTGAGGAGAAGAAACAATACGAGATCCCAGTCGCTATAACCGACTCGGGCACCCCAAGGTTGACCGGAGTATCTATCCTGACAGTGGTTATCGGTGACAGGAATGATAACCCAATGGCACCTGGACATAGCAACATCTTCGTTTACAACTACAAGGTAATAACCACTATATAATTTCTTATGTTACAATCAATGCAAAATACAATAGCGGAATAGGCGGTGGAAGGGAATTTTTAGCAATGTGGACTTATAAACCCATTGCTAGCAATGTACGATGTCAGTTTGAGCTCCACATGGCTGCCCTTGAAAACATGGATAAATTCCTCTTAATTTTACTACTATGATAAAATTAAGTATTTGTTAATTTCGGGTCAATTTTATACATAATTAAGTTAGTCAATAAATAGAGTACTTCGCCCTAAGTTGTAAACTTAAATTTTGTTCAAACTCAATTTGAAAGTCTAATTTTGATTATGTTTATTTGATTCTGTAATAACAGCCGTTATACCGAATTTGATTAGCTATCCAAATTACATTATGAATAAATTAAATAACTATTCACAATAAATTATCGTCAATTTTTTTTTTTAATGTTAAATAGTAAACGTCCGAGAAGTACCTAAATAAGAATTTACTTAATTACTATTTTAATTACTTCAATTACTATTCTATTCTATTCTTTTATTAGTTTAAAATACAGGTTCTGAACTTAAATTATCTTTTTCCTTTAGCCTAACATTTTTTTATACTTTCTATATGTCGTCTATTAATGACACGATTATATTTAAACGTGTAATTAAACTCTAATATATATGATCTTTAGTTATATATTACACTTTAATTACACGATAGCTTATGACTGCCATCCTATTTCTGAGTTTAGAAAACAATGTTTCATTAGAACAATTGTTTTTCACTCGGTCTTTTTAAGTAGAATCTTCTATAGTCCCCTAGAGGGTGCAGGTTGGCGTCTCAGGGCTAGCCCGTTTGCCCTGGCATCAATCCGGAGACAACAACCCCTGGGGAACGGGTTTTAAGCTTTTGTGGCCATTATATATTTAAAAACTTAAGCTGTATCAAACAATATTAGACAATATAATAACTATTTCTTCTTCTTATTCGATTCGCGCTTGTCAGAACGATCGTGGTCATTATGTAGTAGAGTGAGAGGCAGATGTCATCCGCCGTACAACAGCCACTTCTCCCTACTCGCTGCCATTCTGGTGTAACGATACAATAAACATATTAACCGTATTTGGGATGTTTTTCCCATATTTTTTTATTTGTTGATTATTTTTAGCCTTCTATTGCTCTTTGGAAATTTTAAATGCCAACCTCTACGTCGAGAACCTGTGGTTTAAAACCATGTTAAATATTTAATTGTAATGTAACCGTAGGGCTAAGTAAATATATTTAATAAAATGCGTAAGTACGTACTTCATAAAAAATGGAAAAGTACCGAAAGGTCGGGAGAACATATCTGGGCGACATAAAAAAATACTTTATTTGTACTTCTATTATCTCTCTAATGATGAAAACAACGATAGTAAACCTATATTCCGGGAGGTATACTCTCGCTCCCTGCATAGGTTGTCAACCAGATTACAGTACAGCCAGTAATTATGCAACACTGTAAATGTATATCTATTCTAAAATAAATTATTTAAAAGGACACATTTGATATTTTTTCTTTATTAAAGCTAAATTAAAAAAATATTTCGTAGAAAATGAATTAATTAATCTGTACAAAGTTACATTAACAGCGAGTAAAATGGGCGCCGTATTTAATTAAAAAATTATATCCCTGCAAGAATTACACCCATGCGAACCCGGGAACTTACCCCAGCTGAATAGTATTATATATGTGGTTAATTAGGTGCTTATAAAAAATAATTGTTATGTAAAAAAAATGCTCGTACGTAATTTAATTTCCAGTGTAATTTCGTTAACATTTCGCCAAGGGCTTGAAAGGACGATAGGTATATAAAAACCCCTTACATATTCCTTTTGTGCTATAAAAGAGCCCTTTTATATCTTTTGCTCTCCTTAATAGTTCGTTGTCTGCAGGCAAACGATAATTTAATTTAAAAAGCCCCATTTATGTGCGCGTTATGACCATCCAGTACAAGTAGTACAATATCGGTGCTAACCAGTAATTTTATGTCAATACAAAATATTGTCTATGATCTGTCAATACGTAAATATAGAATATGGTTATAATAAGTAATATGTTTTACATTTTGTGTTATTACTAATAATTTCAGTCATGACAATGTTTGTAGGAGGCAAACTGGCATAGTCTATGGATTTTATAATCATGAAAGTAGATATAGAATTCAGGGAATTAAATACAATAGAATATCTATATTACGACACACAACAATGCCTGTGAACATAATTACATTATTAAAGATTAAAAAAAAAGCAGTACTAAAAGCGACCTAGGTTTATAAAAATTAAATCTAATTATAAATGTCTCCTTATTGAACTTGGTTGAACATATTGAAAACAGGGAATGTTATAAATTTGTACAATAACAAATATTTCATGTGTAGTGTACTTTTATGGTAAACTGACCTGTGACGGTACGTACACAATAATAAAAAAAAATAAACGCGCCATCTTCTTTCGGTTGATCGCGCATTTCCCGCGTAAATTCATGTATGGTATGTATACTGAGAAATCTAATTAATATGAAATAAATTAAACAACAGTACATTAGAATAAATCGAATAAAAATATTATTATTAGTAACATTATACTTCTCAAATATAATGATAATAACGTAATTTTATTTGTTTACTTGAATGTGTGTCTACTGGTAATAAAGAAAGTATATATGATAAATGTAGGTGTCGTCTGTAAGTCTATAGAATTAATTCTGAAGTTCTTAATTTAAAAATAGCATGTTATTTTATTTATTAATATTGTTCCTTTGTATACCGTATTGGTGCCGTTTTTTAATATGCATATTACTTCTTTTTACGCAATCAGACGGAAATGTACTACAATGAGTTGTACAGTTGGCGCTATTATGTGAGTATCCGGAATTGTTTTACTTCTAAATAGGCATTACTTTTTCTATAATTTAGCACATTACAAATTTTGTTTACAATTTACTTGGCTTGTTATCGCTTTTTCCCTTAATTACGTTCCGGTCAAATTGTACTGGATGGTATAAGAACTTTATAATTTATTTAGCGGATTTTGTTAAGATTTGTTGTAATTAGATAACAAACTTTCCTCTCGCATTTTGAGATATTGTTTGGGATGTTTTCCAGGCAATTGATTTTCTTAATAATGTTAACGTTATTTTTAGTTACTTAGAAATACTTGTTATCTAACGTTGTAGCTTAAATTTGATAATTTATAGTTATTTTAAACAACGGTTTTTTAGTATTGTTATTTTTTCACTATATATAAATTGTCAGTAAGAATATTTAGTCTAATCTCAAAATTATTCAACCATTTTTTCTTAACGAAAGCAACCTATACTATATGTATCTTATGCGGTCTATATCTCGGTTCTCCTTTGTGGCTCTACTCTCAAAACTGTCGATAATCTCAACATCGGTTTCAATGCAATCCAATTTTCCATCGTATCTTGAAACATTTTGCAGTACATAAAGCGAATCCTCATAGTATCGTCGAGTTCATTCCATGATCTCACAATATGGAGCTAATATTATGTTACTACAACGACCTACTACTATACACGACCAAAATCAAGGGCATTGTCCGAACTACTCGACAGCGCACGAGATCACATCGTGTGTAACCAAATTCAGTATAAATCAGGACCACTGTATGTCCAAAAACTACAATATTTAGGTTAAAAAAATTACAAAAATTTGACGAGCTACCAAGTCGAGCTCCAATATTATCCATAATTTTTGTGACATGTGTGATCCGAAATACATTATACAATGTCGAACGATCAGAATTTGTTTTAAAAGATGACCGTTGCCTTGAGAATGTCCTTATATCACCGGTGTTAAATAGAAAATATTATACAAATATACTTATTAATATAGAAAAAATCTCCAGATGTAAAAAAAACATTGAATTATAACACACAACAGCAAAACCCTTTTTACAAACCTTATGTACGAATCTACGAGTTACAGTAGCGTGCAATTAAATATTTTAAATACTTTGTCATAATATCATTACCGATAATAGGCACATTCCATTACTATTTTAATAGAATCACAATATTACGAAGTATTATTGTGACAAGGTTGAAAAATGTTTATCTCTTATGCGACTTCGTAGTGTCGTCGACTTAGTATTGCACTCGCTCGGGTTCCATTCAAAATTTAATTTTAATTACGCACTTTAGAGATGAATATATCTCGTTTATTTATTCAGCCATTGCTAAGATGCTCTTCGTGTCGCAATTTGTATTCAACGCCGCGATTTACAAAGCATGAAATATGAAAATGTCCTCGCGAACCGGATTTACTCGTTATAAAGCACCGTAAACAATTTTACGGTTTTTCATTCTAGACGAGACATTATTACTGAATTAGACACTTTACTGTCAAGCTCAGAAGTTACGCCCCTGTTAACACTATACGACGACCAGCGTAATGTGATCCTTACGATTGTGTTCAACAACTCCTTTATTCGATTATTGCATTAAAAGAATCAAGACCGCAAAGTTCTTAATACTGTGGTCGTAACGGACTTAGGTACTACTTTCGGGCATACCTCAATGAATAATTAAGTCAACGTTCAGATTCGAAGCCTATAAACCTTTAGGGTAATGCCCGTGTTTTATAATAATATATGGATATTAAAATGTTAATTTTGCGCTTTAATGAAAGTGGGTTTAGTGCGGTGCGTACCGCGTATAAACAAGGATTATGCTAGGAAGGCAGTTTTTACTGCCTTGCCCTGATTTCATTGAGTTACGGCGTGGATATTCTGGATACGGTAGTTTATTCTGTAACCATATTATATTATGTAATATCCACTACTAAATATTATGTATATATATAACTTAATACCTCAAATTTATTACGTTACGAAGACTTATGGATAACTGTATTCGCTATATATGAAAATCTACATGAAGTCTGTATTGTAATTTATTATAACTGTATACATTTTTTTGAAATAAATAACAACACTAATTTTAGCCAGTTTTCAACCAAAATTACCTATATTCCGAACTGGCGGCATTAACATCTTATAAATAGCTGTATTGGGTTTATATAAATATACTTCGATTTGATTAAAAATTCATATAGAACGCTTATAAAAATAACTAAATTCGACTGTAACTTAATTCTTGAAATGTTTTGTTAGTTATGATGATTAATAATTATATCTACTGGTTGTGTATTAAGCATTATCGAGTTCAGTAAATCATCATAGACGCATGTATGTATATCGCGTCCAAAAATTAAAGAATAAACTTACAGTCTAGTTTAGATTTCAATTGTTATTTTGTAAAATCACAGAAGCTAGCTCTACAAATAAATACCAGTTCATAGCTTATTTAGTGGCAGTACCTAAAGAAACTATTTACCAATGCAGCGATACGGTTAGCACATTAAAGATTAATTATATTTTCAGTAGTGATTGTGTAGCAACACAATGCCGTCCTCACTAATTCGTAACAGGGACTTGCTTAAACTGTTCGCTCCTTAATGAAGTAACGCAAGCGACTTCACTACGTATACGACGTAATGCTTCGTTTACACTCCGTCAAACCGTAAAGTTTGAGTTTTAATGAGTTTATATAAAAATATAACAATATAAAGAATAACTTAAACGACCGCTTGAACCAGACCAACGACTTGAAATGACGAATTCAAGTTGTATTAATATAAATACTATTAACAATTGCCAATCAAGTTAAATCGAACAGTAAGTGAGTGATTTTGTGTACCATATATACCTACACTATTTTCAATATTCTATGACCATTTGGTAAAGAACTTGTCTTGATTCTATAAAAATTACTATTTACCAACATTACGTTGTCTCGTGGTATTCAATCTCTATTTCTTATTAGAACTATTGAAAAAGAATGAAAAAATATATGCACTGAATGCATTTATACGCTGAAGGCATAGGGTTGTATAAATAAAACAATCTAAAATTTGCTGTCTTTTCCTTTTCCCCGTTTTCAATATCATATATTGCAACTTTCCGAACCGTTTTCTTAATCTGAATAAAGTAATTAAAATTCTAATAAATAATGTTAGTTAAAATATATTTTTTGGCAGAGTAGTGATTTTCTCTTTGGTTTAATAAAACAGTCGTTTTATTAAACGTAATTCTATGAATAAAATACAATAAACTTGCTTGCACTTCTACTTCTCTCGCAAGTTACAACAAGGCATCACTCCTTTGTTCCGTATTCGTTTTAACGACAGGCTTACGTCGCGTTTGCTCTAAACCCGGGATTGTGTCCGAAACATAATACACACAAACTTCCAAACTGAAAGATTGAGTAACCCCGGAACAATGCATCACTGTTGTAGGAAACTAGTTCGCCGCAGTCGAGTTTAAAAAAATAATGCATCTTATACTTGTACCGCTGAAATACCTATTATTGAGTACATACACATATTTTCTAGTAAAATTGCTTCTATAAGAACTAAATTTATATAAACTGATAGATTTTAATTGAATATTAATTAAAATCTATTATATTATATAAATTTAGTTTTTATTTCATAAAGAATACAAATAACAATTTCATATAAAAAGTAGAATGTAAACATTATCGTTTGCAAATATATGTAATTTAAATTTAATATTCATTATCAGTTACAATCCTGTTTTATTTCTGTAGCCTTAATTATTTCAAAGCTTTTTAAATTTTAATTTATTTCGCTTTTAGTATAAAATGTAATATGTTTTTATAAACTAAAGTATGGTATATATAATATAAATTTTATATAAGTATATGGTTTATAAAAAAATTATTTACTTTTCATTAAACTGCAATCAAGTATACAGTTTTTAATTTATATGTTGCTATTCAACACTCTCTCGCGAAATATCTTAATTTTCATTCAACAAGCAATTAGTATATATATGAATTGGAAAATTAACACGCCATATGGAGCCGCAATAAAATTATTTCCATTACGGTCGGAACATATGATTAAGGTAGGAGTTCAGAAAGGTTTAACTGCCCATAAACGATATTATTGCCGATTATAGACGAAGATACCGTCGCGTGCTTTGTGTGTTACAATTTTGATTGAAATACTATATTTATCACTTAATATGTATTATTTACTATTATTTTCTTAAGAAATTTTCATATATAAAGAAATTACTTTAAATTATGTGAAGGTATTATCAACACTACCTATAAATTCTTAGTAAGCAATAATTTTGCATATTAATATTGTAATTAATATAAAGTAGACATAAATTATTAAATATTACATCAATTAATGTACTATTTTATTAAAGTTTGTGAATTAAGTTCCAGAGACAGAGACCAGCTAGAATATTTTAGTAAGAAGTCAGCCTTTTTATAAACTCATATATTATTTACAGTGTCTTTTTTATACTTAGTACGCTATTATAATTTCGCATATTGACAATGAATAATATAAGAAATTACTTTTAATTTAGATAGTGTCGGAACTAATAAAAAAATATTTGTTCAGGGTGAAGCTCCGGACACTGAAATCGGACGGGTATACGTGGATGATCCGGACGACTGGGATCTACCAGACAAGCGGTTCATGTGGCTACCTTCATACGAACAGAGGAGTCCGTACTTCGATGTGCATAGTAAGAACGGGATGATCACAATGAAACAGGGAACGCCTAATGGAACCTATCTGCTCAGATTTAATGTAAGTTATTATATTTTTTACCTATACTAGAGAAGATTTCATATGTTTGTAATGCATAAAGTTAAAATAATACAGAACTGATGTTAAAAACTGATAAGATAATCATTATCAGCAAGTAGATGTGCTATTTTCGACAACGACAATTAGACGTAAGATGTCAAAGTATAAAACTGACATGCCTTTGTTCTTTTTTTTTTTCGCTAATGTTTCATTGTATATAGATATACATATAAAATTAATATGAAAAGTTATAATTATAATCAAGATTGGAATAATAATAATAAGTTTATTGTGCAAAAAAACAGATACAAAATGGACTTAATTAAGGTTATATATATATACAATAGTTATTAAAAACAATTTAATACCAAGTCCAGTGCAGTAGTGTCTAAACTAGGCCAAGCCTGTATCTCAGACACCATTGACATCCTAAAGATAACATGCATGGAATATATTGGTAAAGATTAATAATTACCAAACTTATTTAAAATAAACGAGAGTTCTCTTTCAAATTTGTATAGTATAAATAATAGAACAAAGCTAAAATTGTATATCATAGCTTGATGTATGATACTTTTTAATACAAGTAGCGCCATCTATCTTTGAATAGAAACTGATCAATCACATTAGAAATTGTTTCGGAATATTGTCGCTGGATGGCGTTGCTGTCGTAGTAGCATCGTTATTTTTCAAGCATTCGTTTTAATTATCTTGATTTTTTACTTATATACACACAATAATAATGTGTACACAATATAAACCTATTTATTCAATATAGGTCACAGAAGAGAATGAACCTAAGGTGCCTTTCCACTGGGTAGAGGCGACAGTGAATGTTACCATAAAAGAGATTCCGGAGGAAGCAGTAGATAAGTCGGGCTCCATTAGACTCATTAATATAACAGATGAAGAGTTCATTGTCCCTGAACCTGATGTAAGTATACCTTACTTTTGTATTTTATGTAATTATTGAGTTCAAAATATTTTCTAGGTATAGGAACGAAATTAAAAACTGAATCATTCAAATAAAATATAGTTTTATAATTGTTAGGTCCGATAGATAAATTTCGATCATATAGACTTAATGTTTTTTTTATCAGAGAATTTATTTATAAAGTATCAATCCTGAAACAATACTTAATTTCCATTATATTTTCATAAGGCATAGCAAGGCATTTTATGTATATTTATCTTAAAAAAATATAATAAAATACCTACTACAAAAAAAAATTAAAGAACTGTCATCCTACCAGTACCTTGTCAAGCACTAGGCACTGGCCTTATTTCCATTTCATTGAAGTTATGTAGAATAAGGAGTTTATTATGATTTTTTGTTAACATACAAATAAGTATCTATTAGGTATAGAAAATAAAATATTTTTTCATTCGCTATTACTCAGAAATGGACGTCAACAATTCTGGCCATTGACATAAATATAATTCCCCTAAATGTCAATACCCTCTTCAAAGTAGAATCTCTATACGAGCAGATACGAATCGGCCATGCGTCATTTACACTTTGTGTTATAAGCATTTTTAGAAGTACTTCAAAAGATTATTTTTCTTTTCAATATACGAGTGTATCAGACTTTAATTATTTATTTATTGGATAAATTTCTATTTGGCGGTTTCTGTAGTTTCAGTATTTATTTTAATGGAGTGTTTTGGGCTTTTGTCAGATTGCTAAAACTTGTGGCACTGCCACCTGCATAAATCTATTATGCTCGCCCCTTTTCAAAGTTCGCTACCTAGACACGTCAGGGACAAGAATTGGAGTATATTCTTAGGAGCAATGGTTTTATCTCCTCAGGATAGAGTGTGCCCTTTCCAAAGGAGATATTTCGTTTATGCATGAGTGGGCTGCGACAACATAGGATGTGGGCGTTTCCTCTTCAAATTGACATAATCTGCAGTTTCAGTAATATATTGCCTTAACTCCAATAGTCGCGTAGTTTATTTTTCTACGATACAAACATTTATATATGTATGCTATATATATGTATATATACTTACAAAAAAAAAACGAGAAATTTTAAGTACATGTTTCTATCAGTTGTTTCGTACCAATAATACAGTCTCTAATTAACAAGATGACACTGAGAATTGGCGTAGATTATTATTTATTTGAATAACATTCTAAACACAAAGTAAATTTCTTATATGTCTATTAGACAAGCCCAAATAGATTGACACCTGATTAACTCAAGGTATTGAAGCTAATTTCCGTAGATCGAGAATATCCGTGAAATCTCAATCTACGCCAATTTCTATAGCTTCAATCTATTCACAGACACTTCAATTTATATTAAATTGAGCGTCTCACTACTATACTACTTGCCTGGATGGTACAAAAGCTATGTATTAATAGAAATCCTAATTAACTATAATATCTTCTGTAATGCTGTCTATTATCATATAAACTATATCAAATAATTTTGGGAACATTAAAATAACATTTATTTCGAAACCTCGACACTTGGCATTTCTTTTGAAATTAGAACAATTTCTTTTTATATTTTTTTATCTTGGAGACAATCTAAACGGGTTACGTAATGTAAAGTGACAACAATCGCTTACTTATTATCACGAACAGCATCACCGATCAAAACCGTCATTTGACATAACTCATATGCGTTATCATTCCAAAATACTAAAGTCTCGCCTTCAACCAAGGATCCAAAGCGATGCAGGTCCTAGGTAGAATAAAGGTACCCACTCAGATAACTTCGTACAAAGTATCTTCGTAAAGAGTGTTTGCAACACTTTACATTACACCCATAACAAAATTATATCAATGAATCCATCAATCATACCAAATTTTAACACAAAAAATGATTCATTTAGTTTTAATACCTTCTCAATTGACTTGTTCAAGTAAAAGATATATTTAGACTACGAAATTAGTGCTCGTCTATATTGTTTCGTGGGAACTACTCAAAGTTGTCGTTTACGTATAATATTCATCATTAGCAAAGTGCTCAAAAATATCTTGACTATGATTAATGAGTATTTTGCTATTTAGAATAGAAACCGACCTCTTTGTATACAATACGCGACACTTAACGTGTGACGTATAACCTAGCCTATAATTTTATACATTGAGGAGACTTCATGTAGGTTTGTATATAATACATACTAGTATTAATTCCAGATGTTCCTTCCCATATACACGGAAAGGTACCAAGTATAAAACATGAAAGCATAATAGCTATATCATCATCATCATCATCATCATCATCTGCTTCTTCCAAATTATCCGAGTGGGCGTAATATGTTTTTCTATTCCTTTCGTTTCTGTTCGCAGTCATCTCTTTACGTACTTCCTTTCTTGCCATATCAACTTTCACATGGTCTATCCATCTCTTTTTCCGCCTTCCTCTGCCCTTATAACCATCCACAGTCGTATGTAATACTCTTCAAATCAAACTCAAAATATCTGACCTGATAAGATCTGACCGTCAGCTTAAATGCCGGTTCAGTTACATTAGAGAATAAAATAATAGTTAATTTTATAATCGATATCTCTTTATTTTAGGGAACGAGTAAAAAGGAAAAATTACACAGACGACTGGCTCAACTATACAATACCTCTATGGACAACGTAGATATTTTCACCGTTTGGAAAAAGCAAATCGTGCAGGACGTATTCTTAGACGTGCGATTCTCTGCGCACGGGTCGCCTTACTATCCAGCGGAGAAACTTGACAGCATGGTCATTGGCATACAAGAAAAGGTATTTATATGTCCATAAGCAATTTCCGATCTTGTCCATGTTCAACAATATATCTACATGATATACATGTTGAAAATATATTTTAAAAGTTAAAAATAAAATATTGAACACCTTACAAAATCTTTATTCCTATCCAAATATTACGAGTACAAAAAAAATCTGTAAACATGTATATACGTGTAAGATAATAATAATAATAATAATAATAATAATAAAAAGAAAGAAGTATAAAAAACTCCGGTTATCTAAAGTGGTATTTTCCATGATTATGTATTTGTAAGCCCGATACATTCTTTTTGTAACGCTGTTACAAGCATCTAGAACCCATAATATAAGCTCAGCTTAGCTTGAGACTAGATGGCGTTGTATGAATTAAAGACGGTGGCCAATTTGAGCTAACAGTTAAAAAAAACAATTTTACATTTAGTGTTATTCTTCCTTATAGCTGGAAGACGAGCTGCAAGCCAAAATTTACATGGTGAAGATCGACGAATGTCTCATAGAGAAAGTGCAATGTGAAGAATCGTGTAGAAATATCCTTGTCAAAAATAATGTACCGCAGTCTGTTTACACAAATACAACGAGCTTCGTGGGCGTGTCGGCGACAATCGAAACCGAATGTACTTGTGAATGGGTGGATACACTCGTTTGTTTGAATGGAGGTGAGTAACTACAATGCACTGGCTACCACCTGCTTATTCATTATAAACTCAACGTAAAAATATTACAAATATTGTAACCGCGTGTTTTAGCACTTTAGTTCCAAATTAAGAATATAATGGTTTCAAAGAGAAAGTGTTCTATATAAAATAAATCAAAAATCATTTATTCATTTTAGCCGCCTATGATCGTGAATTTTTTGTATTATAATTTTTACGAGTACCTACCCTACCATCCAGTTCTGTATACAGATTCAATTGAGTAGAACTGACATTTTAAATAAATATGTAGGTATATTAGACGTTTGACGTTTTTATTAAATTAGGTTTGTATACTCATCTATGACTTCGTCTATTTATATTTCAGTCTTTCCGTTCCATTTGGTTTTCAATTTATCGACATTACATCCTTCCTAGGTCTATTAATATTAAAACTCATACAAGACAGTAGCAAATTATTCATACTGTTCTTTATGGAAATTAATAGGTACAAAATTGACTAAAAACTGTTATTACCAAATAGCGACATCTAGTCGTTTAATTTTTTAATAGATGATAAGATGAACATAAGGTCAGTTAGCCAATCGTGATAAATTCACCAGGAATTTATCATGACAATTTCCAGTGGGAACCGCGTGGACGTCAACCTGTCTCTATACATTGCTAGCAATGGGATCATCAGTCCACATTATTAATAATCCCCTCCCCCTAGTCATATAATTAGATATCATATTTGTTGCTTAAAAATATTGAAATACCAGTATAATTAAAATTGCGTATATTTTCAGGAACACCAGTGGCTAATCAGTGCGAGTGTCGGGAAGGCTTAACCGGGCCTCATTGTGAGGAGACCTCGATTGGGTTCCATGGTGCTGGGTGGGCTATGTACCCTTCCCCACCTGCATGCCACGAGGGACGCGTGACACTTACTGTGACTGCACACTCCGTAAACAGTCTGATCTTCTACCTGGGACCTCTTAAATATAACCCACTTTTGGAAATACAAGGTTAGTGTATTTTTCTTTTTATATTACGCACTTCGTGCCCCATTAAGTAATATTTATGTAAGTGTAGATTATATTACTGTTGATTTTAACATAAGATTTGTAATAGATTTTCTGTACAAATAAATATATGAGAGTCATATAAGAGTTTATGAGTAGGAAATAAGAAACAGTACAAAACAATAATTAAAATTGAACACTATATTCTATTCTATTCTATTCTTAGAAGAGTGACACGGAACATGAAAAATTCGAAAATATTTGAAATATGAATAAAATTCAATAATCACAAGTTGATGGGTAACATAGTTTCTTAAGTGGCTATTATATCTATTTTCTAATTGACTATTCGGTTACCATATTAGTGCGGCATACTAATATAAACAACTAAGTAGATTACCCATTCAGCGTTTATGTTATGTCTTAATTATGAACATATAATCCAAACAAAATATTTAGATATGTCTATGTTCCTGTTTAATTATTCTCTTTGATTAATGAAGAAACGTGGACTAGACCCTAATTAATCATAGATATCTTGTCTCTATATAAAAGAAAGATCTATGTGTTTCTCCTGTTTTATATATCACACCTAAGATTAATATTTGCTTATTAAACAATTCGTCGTAGTTTATCATGAATCATCTATGTACGGACTATTTGTTTACATAGAAAACTACGTAACCGTTCATTCATTCATTCATTTCAGTTCAGATATTCATTCATTCAGTAGCCTATTACTTTTTTGCCGTGTAGGACTTACTTGTGTATAACAAATAATATAAAACAAATCGCTGTTTCCGTTTATTCTCCAATTACATTTTTTAAACGAATAAACATGCAGAAGTTTTTATAAGTACCGTGTTTTTTTTTTTATATTTATATGTATGTATTTTCTTCTATAACCTCTCACATATACACTCTAAACTGATTCTGTCTAACACAGTTGTTTTTCGCCTAATTAATTTTAAAATTATAATATTAAAAGGCATTTATCAATATAAAACTATATTATCTTTTATGTTGACTAAATCACAATGTATAAAAGTCATAAAACCCGTTTAATACTTTCAGAGTTAGTTCCGGACAAACATCATGACAGTAGATTTTTATTTGCGTATATACATATACCAAAAGAGTATTCTTATACACTGAGCACATGGTCTACTATTAGGCCCAAAGTTTGGTAAAGTTTATATAAGTGTCAAATAACTTGTTGTAATATTTATATTTGCTCAGAACAGTGGTTACAAGGGCTGTTCAGAACTTCCAACTAATCTTAGAAGTTTCGCTAGTAACATAAAAGAGATATTTTTTATCTGCATTCATGCATCATCGAAAGGAAGGAAACGGGAAGTCAGAAAAAAATACGTCCAAATGACAGAAATAATACGTAGCTTTTATTCTGGATGAAATCGACAAATATTGGATATCGGTCCATGTATTTTTGCTAGTTTGAAAAATGTGAATGTAGTGAAATTACTGGATATATGTTTTTTTTGGGGGTTTGGGCTACTGTCTGGTGCAAAGACCTGTAACACTGCGACCTGTACAGATCTATTGTTCTCGCCCTTATTTAAAATTCGCTAGCTAGACCCGTGAGGGACAAGAATAGAAGGATATTCTTAGAAGCGATGGTTTTTATCTCCTTAGGAGTGTATACTTTCCAAAGGAGATATTTCGTTAATGAGAGGACTACAACCACATATGATGTGGTTGTAGCCCTTGTAAAACCACGTTTTTTCTTCTGCTTGGCAAAAGTGGTAACGCCACTTAGTGGCGTTAGTTAGTTAAGATATCTTCAAATAATACATGGCATACTTTTGGGCGAGGTTCATATCTTGTCAGTTACCAATTTGCATCAAATGCTCAAATCTATTACATGATGAAAATCACAACCGTCTAGTAATTTTTCTCCGGCCAACCACATTGTGGAATCTGCTGTCGGCATTGGTATTTTCGATTTGATACGATACTGACCTTTAATATTATTCTATGTTATATACATTCCTAGATTCCTCTATATAGGGCATATTCTTCCCAAAAATACCTGCAATTCCTCGGGTGTTGCAGGTGTTTAAGAGCAATAATGCCATACATCAGGTACACCGCAAAGTCGTTTGCGCCATATGCTGCATATGGTGAAAGCGGAATTTCATATACACCGTGAAAGACATGTGCTGCATGAAAATTATAGAGTGTATTAAAATTCTCAAGAATATTGTTAGACTATTATGGCTTTTATTTATTAGTAACTACTCACCTCGACTTAGCACGTGTGTAGTGCACTTCTTTTTGAACAACTTCGTTAGGATTTATCAAACATTTACTTTGATATAAACATAACGAAATTAAACTAATTTGTCAAATAAATGCAGCCATACATACATATATTATGCGCCACAACTCGTGCACGTACAAATAGAAATCACTTCTATGTTATTACTGAGAATGTTAAATTCGAAAGAGAACTTGCCAAGCACACAACATAAAAATACGATGAAAAACTTAGTGAAATATCTTTTAGTGAATAATAGTTTAATGGCAATTGATACAGACGGGCTAGTTTCTTCGTTTCCCCGTATATTTTTCTTAAGAGAACAAATATTTCTTGCCAAATTGCCAATTTTACTAAGTGGTGTGTCACATTACTAACTACTCAAGTAGTTTCTTACCTAGTTTTATTGTTAGGTATTTTTTATAATTATTCCATGTCTGTAAGATTAAAAAGTATTTAGATGTACATGGCTTCTAAAAAAACTATATGATTTAAGAATTAAATCCTATGAAAGTAGTGTTTTTAGTATTCATACTAATACTGTAAATTTTATTATGCGTCGGTCAGTCTATTTAATAATTAAATAGACAGAACTATGTGGATCTTAATTTAATTTTATATTTGGATTAATTGCAGCACTAGAATATAGGGTATCTTTTATGTCAGATGAAGTTACGGATCACAGCTGTCATGATATCTAGCTGTTATTTATCAACGTAATTCTAATAAACTTTAAATTTTTTGTTATGCAAAAGTAAAAAATTCCCAAAAATACGTTGGTACTTAGTGTTTTTAGTTATACTACATGCGAGTAACATATAAAATTCGATCATTACTCAACTATGTTCATTAACTGTGGTACTAACAAGAATTCGACTTCAAACCTAACAATGTTGCCAGCAACAATGAACATGTCAGGGCAGATTGGCGTAACAACTTGAATAATGATTTCCGTGCCGAATTCACAATGGCCGCGGAATGAATGTTGTATATTTTCAATGACTTCAGCATAATGGTTGCAAACAAGCATACGGCACATCTGATGGCAAATGGTTACCGTAGCCTATGGACATTATAATCAAAAGAATATTTATTCATATGAAGTATACAGTACAAGATACTTATGAGAAACAGTTTTTGTTTTTATATAGTAGTAACTGTAATATATTGTAAAAAAAGTAAGTATAAGTAAAGTTTTATAAAATTGGAATGACAAACAAACTGATGGCTCCTCCTACAAGTCTCAGGATTTAAGAATGAGTAAGTTATGTAACCGAACCTTGTAATTTCACTATTCATAGTGAAATGCAGCAAGTTGCAGAAGAATTATGTCCCAAATGTATCTAGTTCCAAACTACGCAGATGTTTTATTATTGCTGTTAATATATATATACAGTAAATAGTTATATACAAAAAAAAACCAGTAATAGAAGACAAAGAATCATACTCATGAATACAAAACTTTGTATCGTGCAAGAATATACTCTGCGACCATTGGAAATTAGACGGTGTGCTAATCCACTGATCAACGAAGACGTTAAGCTAATATTTAAAAATTCAACCTTATTTTTCTATTAAAACTATATTTCCTAATTATTAAAATTTATTTATACTAATTTTCCATTGTGGCACCACCGCGTATAAACTAACTAGTGTTGCCATTATATAGTAGCGTGCTCGAGTAGCGACTTTCACTCGGCCGTTATCCGATGTACCAGCCGCCCGTCACATTGTAATATTACGTCGTTTTCAAATGTTGCGCCTGTAATGATTTTTTAATGATCACATAATGACTGACAAGCGTGTAGCGGGTTATGATTTATTGAGGGACCGCTCGCGTGATAGGTAACCTCAGTGCTACGGTGTAGCGACGTGACGCGATGCCGAAGACACGCTATCATGACTGTTATGTCAATATTATATTTTTTATATTCACTTTTTTCATAAGAGTAACAATTGTACAGATGACTTCTAATATATATATAAATCTCATGTCGTTGTGTTTGTTTATCAAACTCATCCGAAACGGCTTTACCAATTTTTATAAAATCTTGTGTGAGTCTGAGAATGGGGCAAGATCTATTTTTCATCACCTCTCAATGATAAGTGTGACCCATTCCTTTTAATTTTTTTTTAATATCTTACGATTCGATTAAAAATACATACAACCCGAAAAATTAGGGTTCTACCATCAACCCCTATTTTTAATAGCGATTTTAATTTATATAGCAAACAACGCTGGGTCAGCTAGTTTTTTTTATAAAATCATCACCTGTAGCTAAGTCATCACCAGCTAGTTGTCTAACTAGCTGTTACCCCCTATTTCATCTGCTTTTTTTTTTAAATAATTTATATACATAAATAGTGTAAGCTATTGTGTATGCATACACAGGTAAATAGTAAAAGTATCAATTGTGTGAAACTGAGTTTGTTTATTACGCATTAACGATGTAAACAATATTATGATATATAGCATGTACGAACACGTAAATAAATATTTGGGCTTGAATAGAGCATACACTACCTTTTATAAATAAAATTGTTAAGTGAAACTAGTAACAATTTAATGTTTAATTTTTTATCAAATTTGACATTCTAATTTTTTTCATTCAATTCTATTGATACCTGTCTCTACGGCCTTTTAACGTCGACAATTAATCAAACTGATATTCAAACAAAATAAAATCAAACTATTCATATATTGATATATTTTTTAAATATGTGTTATTACACTGTGTAAAGAACTTAAGGGTAGCATTTCAGTAAGACAATGTTGTAATTATTTCTATTCGTGTAACCGACAGGTAGGCAATGGAAAAACAAAACTTCAATATAGAAATATGTTTCAAGAAAAGTAAAATATCGTGCGACGGTTGTTGACGAATATTAATTATATACAAACAAGAAGGGATTTCTTGGAAAAACTGGGGGAAAATAATAATCACATAATTGTATATTATTCAAATAAGGCGTGCTGTTGTAACTTTGGGCATACTTCGTAATAGACGATGTGGTTTTATCGTTAAATATTAACTGTGCCTATTTCATCAATGTATATTAGTTATATATATTAGCACCGAAGAGTTTTTATTAAAATCGATGAGATTTAAGTCTTTTAAGTGCAATAATTAATCAGTAAGCATAATGGAGCAAATAACCACCTCTAATGGTTTTGTGTATATGTCTGTTGGCGATTCTAAATCTATTTTGTCATCAAAATCAAAATCAAAATCTTTTTTGTCGGAAAACAAATACTGCTTTGGGTATTGTCCAGGGTTGTTATGAATATTAATCGTGTATTAGGTAATTAATAATATTCAACTGAAATATTACAAAGGCACAACACCTTTTCCTTATTTTTAAGTATCAATCACAAATTAAAAAATAAAGAAAAAACCTAGGTAACTGAGTTTAAGCATTTTTTTGTTGTGTCGTTGGGTTATTATTCTATAATTATTACTACTAATTATCTAATTTGTTCGCAGACTTCATGTCGCTGGAACTGGTGGAAGGATATCCAGTACTTCTCGTTAACTATGGTTCTGGTACCACCCGTCTCAACAACAGTGTGGTACGCGTCGCTGACGGTAAACCCCATCTCATCGAGATTGTCCTCATGAGAAGCTCCATAGAAATGTTCGTTGATCGATGCAAGCTGTCCACGTGCATGAGCTTGGCTGCTCCAACTGGTCCGAAGCAAATTTTGAATGGTTAGTATCTTTTGTATATAATATATTGACTGCGTCCAGCATTACCAGAGCAAAGGAGAAGCAAAACTTCTTTTATTTATACGTACAAATCTGGTGTGTTTTGTTAGCAGTTGATAAATATTCAACTGAAATATTACAACAGCATAAAACTTTTTTTCTTATTTTTAAGAAAATAGCAAATACAAAATAAAAATTTAAATTTCTGGGCAATTTTATTTCGTGTTCACACACACAAGTTTCTGCTGTTACAACTAGAGACATGATATAATGCTCACTGTTAATTTCTAGAGCTTTTCTTCATTACTTATTGCTAGCGGACTTGACACACTACGTCCTACATACCCTTACACAGTATGAAATCATCTCAAAATGTACACATAAAATTTCATTCAAAGCAATGCAACAGTTTAGTTAGGTGACAAATACACATACAGATAATATTATTTCTATTTATCTACACAGTAAACGGACCTCTACAACTCGGCGGTTCAAGTATCGATCTGCAGGATGTAGCGCGATCTTTTGCATGGAAGTATATGCCTACGAGTCAACCTTTCATGGGCTGCATCAGCAATTTCACCTACAACGATATTGTAAGTATTATTTTCATACCTTTTCAATGAATAATGTTTAAGAATTTCTTTGATCTTATTTAGATTTTATAGACCATCGCTTATTGTAAATGAACATATCAAGTTCTATCTAATTTAGAATTATTTAGAAGGTATTTAAAATGTAAGGCAGATGATATTTTTTTTAATTAGTCATAATGGAATGGTGTACTTCATACTCTCTAACTCCACGTTAGTGGAGCACCAGTGAAGGACAGTAAGATGAACAGCATTTTAGGTCAGTTAATCATGACAATTTCACCAAGTATTTGTCATGACATTTCCAAGGGGGAATGAATGGCGTGGATGTCTACCTCCCATGGTACATTGCTAGCAATGAGTTCAACAGTTCACATTACTAACAATCCCCTTTCCTTGGTAGATAATAATATGTTATCTATATTCGGTTTTCATAAAGTAGTCATAATAGCTTCGAATAAAATATCTACCTACCTTAGGCTAACGCCAAGTTAAGCTACTTTTCTGTCCTAGTTTTTTCGCGATAGACTATTATAGCATTAGGCTAACGCCAAGTTAAGCTAATTTTCAGTACAATATAAACATGTATCCATGTATAATCATTCGGTTTGGTGAGTGATTATTATATCATGTATGTATTATAAAAAAGACATATTTAAGTCTTTCTATAAGTTATTCAGTACTCTCTAACTCTCTCTCTCTTTTTCTAAATAATATCTTTTTTCCCAATACTTCGAGGCGTCTGGTCGCCCGTATCCAATACCGAGGCTGGACCTATCAAACTGAAACGAATAACTGTAAAAAAGTCGAATTGTGCTTAGTTTTGGACTAGACGGCACTGTGTGAATTTCCCTGGCTAAAAAAGTACACTTTACGTTTATTTGCATCTACCATAATCTCTTCATGTTGCATTAAAAAAAAACCTTTTTAGAATGTTTAATGGTGCCACTTTGTACAAATCACAATAGATTGTGTCGTATGATCCGTTGGTAGAAATGAACTAGTACGGTATTATTATGTCTTCAGCGCAAGAGCCCTTTTAAAGTCGGAAGTAAGGCGGTGTTATTAGAAGTCGGGAATAAAGTCCGCCTTTGTACATATTCAATTTCAATTTACGTATTTATTTGTGTATTTTAACAGAATTCTACAGTAAAGTTACAAACATAGATATTTAATGAATACAAATTATTGTCTGTGAAGTTCTAACAATCCGTAAGTGATTTTTAGCAGTTTCACATTTTGACAAAAATAAGCCGCCACTGTGGCGAAGAAAACACATAATATTGAGCTAGCACATTTTTTATGTAACTGGAAAGTCAAACAAGCTGACGGTGCACCCGGTGGTAAGTGGCAACAGTCGCTTATAAAACTTGACGAGCATGGCAACATTCTATGCCCATATCCATAATACCCATTATGTATTGCCATTCCAGAGAACTGACATATTAGTAATATGTCTTACCATGTAATTTCATTGCCATATCTCATCTCCAAGCAGCTTTGTGGTTTGCGGTTAAAATGGATGATAGTGGTATCCCACGCATATGACTTTACAGCACGTCTCCATCTGGTGAAAACCTCTGGCATTTTACATGTCGTTTCAAATAAATAAAATTGAAATGTCTATTATAAACTTCTATCTTTATCTTCTGTCTTCTATAGAAGTATATACAGTAATTATATGAAAAAAAAATTATCACCCTACCTGTTCTCTGTTTTGTTTTAGCTAATCGCTGAAACGCTTGGACTGATTTTTATGGGAATTTCATTCGCAGATAGCTTTATTATTTTAGAAAATACGTTAAAAAAGTCTTTATTTTAATAACAAAAAGTTATATCCACGAGGGCATAGTCATGGGTACAGCTAATAACGATTAAAAATATTTTTAGCCATAGTCAAGTACCTACTTTGTTTTCACTTATAGTATATTCAGTACAATATCCACAAAGGACGCTAATGTATTATTTATATAGTATTCTTAAATAATATTCAATAATATGAGCCCTGTTTTGTTGATGAATTATATAAATAGATTTCATATAGAATTCAATAGGACAAATGCCATTCATAATATTTTCCTTCAGCCAAAATATAAGTAAAGGTTTTCATATTCTGCTTATAGAGATCAACCTTGAATGCTGGTAGGATTCATTATTGATTTCCATTACGGATAACTTATTACCTTTTCAATGAAGGTCTCTAACCTTCTGAATATGTAATGGTTTAGAATCCTTTATTTTGTTTGGAATTATATATATAGCATTTTATAAATATACATCAATATCCTTCTAATTAGTGAATTACTCATTAAAAAACCATTATTTAGAAAGTATATAAACTTACCAGGAATGTGAGGTAAACGTTAATGTGTGCAGTAACAAGCTTAATCTGTATTTACTGAATGTTTTCCAATAAAGTGGGAGCTTCCTTGGAGTAGTTACTTTACCCGCTTAATCTACAATTTAACTACTTTACATTTACAAATTGTAGAATGGAATTGGCAATAATTATAATACTTACACTTCTTTAACGATTGTATTCGTCTCTTGGATTTATGTAATGTAAATGTTTATTACTAAAAATAAAACTGTCAAAATAACACATATTGATGATGATGATGATGATCTACAAAAGAACAAAAACAGTATCAAATATAAAAAAAATAATATAATTTCAATTATACATTAATTGTACACATTGTTGTGTTGGTATCTTGATATGCTGAGATAAGTATCAGGAAAGACTTACACCGTTTTTGAGATTTAGATCCTTGACAAAATACAAAATTTTTAGATGTTTTATACCTACTTCAAAATATATGAGCATACATAAAATCCAGAGAGTATGTATTAAAAGGAACGACCACTAACATAGGAGATGGTTATGTTCTGAGGTAGACTTCTGTCCTAAGCCCATACTGCAGAGGACGTTTCTAAATAAAAAATACCATCATATGTGCAGGTGAAATGAGTATGATCAAACAACGACAACGAATCCGTGGCTTAGAGGCAATTAGCTTAAATTACAACAGAAAAATCTCAGAACTTGAATTCTTACAAGTAATGTCCTCAATTAAATATCAAAATTCTGAATTTCTCGGACTATCAAAATACCCGTAATTTATTAACCTTTAATACTAATTACATTACGTAATACCGTTTATACGAAAAATCTGTTTTCTCTCTTGCAATCTTTAAAATAATTGACCATTATCAGTAATGCTATCGTTTAATTTCGTATTGCAGGATCCTTTAAGTTACTGTATAAAGACATCCATTTAAATCGATATATATTTTGTAATGAAAGCTTCAGTAGAGTGTAAATTTCATTTAGGAGCGTTCATTTCCACTGAAGAGTATTCTAGCTGTATAGCTAATATGGTTGCATTCGCTTTGATAAACCGAATCAGGCCATGGCTACCAACTAAACTAGAAACTACTAGGTATATATGTACAAGTATATTATACTTCTTATTAATGACGATTTAACTGTAACTACAGTACATTACACTACATTTAAAATAACAGATTACAAAGATCTTAAGAAATAATTTGTACAATGGCGAACTTATCCCAAATGAAAATTGGTGGTGGAAATAGATATACATACATGACAATATACCAACAATAAAAAACAAACGCGTTATATATAATTATAACATACAATAACAGCAATATTAAATAACTACATACTTAAGTATAATAGTATTAGATAATGAAACTACTTTTTGTACTACTTATATATTTAAAAGAGTACTTGCTCAATTAAACTCAAATTATTTTTTATCTCTCTTACAAACCACAACACATTCTCTCTTATTAGCTACACTACACTAGGAGTGAAGCCCTATACAACAATGATACAGTATTATGGTATAGGGCTTCATTCATAGATAGTTAATATAAAAACAATGCAAAAAAAAAACAAGTTAAATTTTCATCATCAAAATATTTCATTAATAAATAAGCCAAATTATATGAAAAACAACTAGTTAAGTAGCCGAGGAAATAATGTTTTAAACTCTCAACGATGTTTATGAAATTACAGTTGAGGTAAAAGTTACATTCGACTGTACTTTGGAGGTGTTAAGTGTACTAAAGCACGGTACTCTTAATTCTCAATTAGTTTTCTGCAACGAACGCCATTTTGAAACATTAATAGATTTTAGTCTGTACTTTTATTTTTAACAAAACACTTTTGCAATCGGGAATTGATTAAAGTTTTTTTAGTCCAAGCAACGCAATGTTCATTTTATCGTATTTTTGCCTAAACAATCGAGGGATACCACTGTTGTTGCGGTATCGATTTTTAATTTAGTCTTAAATGATGGTCGGTTTTATTTAGTGGAACTGAATATTGTTAAAAATATTTTTGTATACAGGTATACAATCTCGGCCAGCCGTCACTCGAGAAGGAATCTGACCCTAGTTGTCAACGGAGTATGTATACGGCGGTCACATTTGGAATCGATACGAACTTCCTCGTCGCCATATTAGTTTGCATTGCAATATTAATTAGTAAGTATTTATTTTATCGTGCGATATTATAGGTAATTCAGTTTTTTTAATTGATCAATTAACATTCTCTTTTGAGATGAATAACACTACTGTTATGAGATGCATTAGGAGAGGCTTTTTCTGTTGCACTTATGAACCTACAATACGTAGTAATTGGAATCAACAAAATCAATTTAATAAATTCAATTATTTTATGTACTTATAGTTTTTTTTAATTGTCAATGAAATTATTACCTTATTGTTTATAATAATAGAATTTAAATCAGCAAAATTAGTAACTATGACCTTAATAATGTAGCTATAGAATTGAAATTAGTAAGAGTATTAAATCGACAATTTTATTTTCAGTACTACTGCTAGCAATGGTTGTCCACCGGCGAAGGGCTATCGCGTGGGCGGAGAAGGAACTTGATGATATAAGAGAGAACATTATAGCTTACGAAGATGAAGGAGGCGGTGAAGGTGACGCCGGATACGACCTTCATGTCCTCAGACAGATGTATGATGGGCCACCGACTGATGCAGATGCAGCCTTCATATATAGCGGAGGTAATTCATATATTAAATATTTAGTATTAAGTAAAATATATTAAGTATACATATAATATGTAACTGAATGATTACTCAGGTACATAATATATGTAAATTTATAATCAGGCATATACATATATATAGTAGGAATATCACGCCGATTGGCTTATATTTCACAGTCGCGGTTTCGATTCCACGCATAATGCAAACATTTTTATTCATATATTTCATTGGTTTTTTCTGTCAGAAGTATTTTTATCAGTTATCTAGTAACCATAACACAAGCTCTGTTTAGCTTGGAATTGGAACTAAATAGCTGTATAATGATCAGGGTTATTTTTATATATGTGTATATATAGTTCATAACATATAATTTGTAATTGTTGGTTATTATTTACTATATGCCCATTTAAATAGGACAGAAATGGCATTCTAATCTAATCAATAGCAGCAATAGAATAGTGGAAATAGCAATATTTTACTGTCAGACACACTAATAAAGTGATCCATATCAGATTATTAAACTACCATTTCGTTTTCACTGATTTTAAACCATGTTTTCCAACTGACAACGTAGATATAATTGAATTGATAAAAAATACATCACTACCTGACGTATTAAAACTCTATAAACTTTGAATTGTTGTGCTTTATAATGTTGCCACAATTATCATTTCAATAAAATATTAATGTTAACAGCCTTCCTTGATGTTATCGGGAAAGCGTTTTATGTTACGAAAATAAACATTGTCTAATATTTGAGTTCCTTTATTTATATTTATTATAATTCAGTACGCTGTGTTTTTTTGTATGTAAGAAAATTATAATCTTGTTTTGGAATTTATTTATTCAAAGCATTTTTGATATATATCAAACAGTACATTATTTTCGACTAACATTATTATTCACATATTAAGTATTGACGCACATATTAAAAATATACTTTTTTGTACCAATTAATATAAGAAAATGTACGATTCCGGATACTTATAAAAATCGAACAAATAATAATAATAAATATGTTTATTATGGCAGTAATCCCATAAGATTATGATTGATTAATGAGAATTTTTTCTTATTTATAGTATGCCATTCTCCTATATAGATAGTCTGTTTTTTTAATGTCGTGATAAACTATATTACTAATGGTAGTATAAAACAGTACTATAATACAACGACCAAACCAAACTATATCCGAACTCGTATTTAATGCCTGATGATGACGGTCGGAATTTGATCACCATTAGAATTTGAAGATCGTAACGGTACGGAAAGGTGACTAAACTTTCCGTACACATATACAGTACGCTATTTGCAGCGGAATTAAACAAAATAATATAAATTCAAGTAGAAAAATGAATTTCCGCAAAATACCACCTAATTTGATAAAATATACCTAATATTATTGACTGCGTAGACTTTCTCCTATATCTAATAAATGAATATTATGAATATCAAGATGCGAGAATAGTAACGTGTATTGTTTCTCAGGCCTAAAGTCCGCCGCGCCAGACATATCCGGCTTCCTGGATGACAAGAAATCCGTCCTGGATCGAGATCCCGATATCAACCCGTACGACGACGTACGGCATTACGCTTACGAGGGAGATGGCAACACCAGCGGTTCACTGTCATCGTTGGCCAGTTGTAAGTATAAATAACTCTATATTTAAGGTTAAGTTTTTGAGGTTAATGAACTTGTTATGGACTCCGAAATTTAACATAAATATACCTAGGGGTTATCAGTATAAATATTATAAAAGTTTTTAAAGAATTGGATACTGAAAATAGAGTGTTGGTAAAAATATTCTACAATGAAAGATACTTGAATTGTGTTATATGCTATAATACAATTGGGTACAAACTATAGTGCCATAATCCCATAATATATATGCCTGTTTGTATGTTTATTTGTTACCTTTTCATGGCTAAACAGCTGAACATGTTTATATCACACGTATGTTATTTTCTATCTCTAAAAATAACCTACAAGGGGGTGGAAAAGGGATGAAAATTTTAACAAATGAAGTCGCGGTGCTCACCTATTATATTATAAAATCCAACAATGTATGTATGTAGATAGATACCTTTTAACTAACCCTAACTTCTCTTTTAGGTACGGACGACGGAGACCTGAAATTTAATTATTTGTCCACATTTGGCCCTCGTTTCCGCAAACTGGCGGATATGTATGGCGACGCTGAGGATGACAGAGCCCCACACGAGGAGTCATGGTGCTAGCGCCACGCCTGGCTCGTGTAGCCGCGTAAATGTAACCCCTATATGACTCTTGCGTAAGGGCGATAATGCCGTGTTGCTTGGTGACCAAGCTGTGAAATGCCTTAACCCTCATTTTCGTTGTATTACTAAGTTCGACGCGTTTGAGTTTAGTAACTCGATTCGAATGGAACCCACCGTCTCAGAGGATTATGCTTTAAATTTTTTACTACAATTGTTCTAATTTGCAAGTGATGGTATAATGACGATTGATTATATTGTGTGATAATCGGATATAAATACATCCATAGTATAGTCTTGTCATTTGGACTGTTTAAATTAATGTACTGAAAAGTATCCAACCTTTTTTTTCAAAGATTTTTTTTTTTTTTTGAGCAGAAAATGTTATAATATTTTTCTTTTAATGTTTGAAATATTTCTCTTAAAATATTCAAATAAAAATGGTGAAGCACATTGTAAAGGAATATATATATCAATCTTTGTTTACTGCTTGAAACATTTAAAAACCGTTTGAAAATAAAAGAAAAATGCATTGTTTATTAAGAACTACATGTATTGAACAATTGAATTAATATTTGGTACAAAACTGTTTTAGAAAATTATAGTAAACTTCCAACGCATTACGATGCATAGGTCTATTATTTACTATAATTTTCGACTGATGCTTTGATAAATCGACAAGCTTTTTCTTTTGAATACGCGAGCTTTATTAGTTATTATTTATAACATTGTTATGGGTGATGTTAGTGAATAATGTAAGGACATGTCCGAAGTTGTGATGTTTATTAAGCTAACATATTCATTGTTTGAATGTAAATTATTATTTACAATTAGCACGACAAAGTGACACCTGCATTTATGACAACAAAACCTAAAGTGCCATTATTTGAGCCTATAATAATTTTATTTGTACCTTACTACAACGTGTAACACAATTAACTACTATAAATTGTTCAGAATCATTTTTTGAATATATAACAACTATGTTATTAATACAATTCATTAATTAGTTCATTAATATAATTTTGAAGAAAGAAATATTACATTCAAGTCTTAAGAATTCAAACAATAGAGAAACTTATTACCAATAACATTGTATTTTAATATACACTTAATATTTTTTTACATTTAGCAATAAATACCACACATATTCACTAAAAATATTTGCTTAAGTAATTACGTATTTTTTTCTAAAATATTTTATATTTATAATTGTTATCTCAATATTAGATTTCATTTTTTAAGCGTTAATTCTGTTACACGTTGTATATTGTCTTCAAGACTTTATAGATGTTCATACGGGTTTATTAAGCACGTGTGTTTTGACTTGTTAGACAGAGATGGAGTAGGGTGGTCTTTGTCTTTGCATATGACAAAATGTTCGTGCTTGATCAAGCCAGTTAACCGCTATGAAGTTTATTAAATTAGAGCTCTCTCTATTGGTACTCATTAAAAAATATCTCGAAACTGTAGTAGGTTCCGTACGTATGGGAATTGTATAAAATTGTTTTTTAATTGTAATGTATGTTTAATTTACGCATGTCTGTTCCTATCAGGTATGAAAAATATTTTATTGATTTCAATAAAATAGGAATTATTTTAGTTGAACATAAACTCGTAAACACAAACATGTATGCACTTATAATATGAATATAGAAAAAAACGTTAAACATTATAACTTTAGTTGAAATATTGGATTTATTATAAAAAAAATTACTGTCTTTAAAATAAAAGAATAGAAATAACAATACGTGATATTTTTAAATGAGTGCCATATAACGAGAACTACTATGAAAACTATAAAACAAAATGATAATGTTTTATTTTATAATTTTAGTGTAATATTGTATTGCGTTGAATGATAGCATAAGACTGTATTATAGTTGTCATTTTATTTATTAAAATGATATTTGTGGCCCAGAAGCAATGTCGTTGAATTATCGTACGTTAGTTCTATTGTGGGCAGTTATAATTGATTATAATATAACTGTAAATAGGTTTCAATTCAGGTATGTAAATATGTAAATCTCTGATACATATTGAGTGAATGTAGATTGTTTTTTAAATGACGAATGACTAAGCCGTGTGTAGAATAATGTTTCCAGGTGTCTTAAAATTATGCATATCAACGAATATAATATATGTGTACGTACGTAACCTGCATTTTATCTAATTTATCATAAACATGTATTGGTAAGTAGATAATGTAGATCAACCTAAGAATGAAATGTTCTAGAATGTTCTTTTTTAATGTGTTGACATTTTCCGAATTTTCTGTCGAAGAATTTGATATCATTGACATTCGAGTATGTTATTTTTAAAACTTTTGTACATTTTTATAACTACAGACGAAAATTTAATGAAGAATATTTTGTCGTTTTTTATAATAATTATTTCCTCCTGAAGAACGCCTCCGGATGAACACAAGTCGACACATTTGTCACGAAAACTAAATTCATTATAATTCTGGTATATAGTTATAAAAATTTCTAGTATGTGTTAGGTATTTCAAATATATTTTCACAATGTTTTAATTGTGATTATTCCCATATAGTCTAATAGTCGTACATTGGGAGTAAATTAAACATTGACGGCACTAAAATAAGTAATTTAGTGCTGTTAATATAATATTAGTTCAAGAGTTATGTCATAGTTTAATTACCGCCAATGAGTAGAGTTAATTCTTCATTTTGTGGAAGTTAACCTTTTTATGTCCTATTTTTATATACTTATTTTTTTTTAATTCAGGTGAAATTCTTATGTAGCTATTTAACAAAACAACCAGATAACTGTCAAAATATTAAACAAATTAAAACAGCATATTGAATATTACGCTTTATTATATGATACATAGATAAAACTAGTGTAATTAGTTATCTGCAATGCGTATTTTTACTTCAAATTAAGAAGTCAAGATAGTAGATAGTACGTCTGTAATATTTATTTAAAGTATTTTTTAAGAATTCCTTGTGTACATTCAATCTAAGTTACTATTTTCCGCGTTATACACGCCTCATTCACAAAGAAAAAAACCTGCTACAAACCCATAATTAGTATTACATCATTGAGCGGAGCGCGTAGCGCAGAGCGATATTAGAGATTACATTTGTACTCTCTACTCCTGCGAAACGGCTTGACCGATCCGACCGACAGATCAAAATTTCTTCGAAAGTCAAACCTCATGCCTACATCGTTTAACCACAAAAAAAAATTCTATCGATCATGGTCGATTTTTTAAGAATATACGCGCTCCGCTCATCTTGACCTGGTATATAAACAACTCATCGGTAATAAACTTAGTTAATTAAATTTATCCTTACGACTGCTATCCCAAATAGAGTCAGAAGTATTGTCAACGGAGCATGGTGAACGCAACACTTAACATGCCCATATAAACCATATTTGAGTCAAGTCAATACCTTTGTTTGCATCATCTATTTAAATTATATGTGTTGGATTACTTGCTTAACATTCCGTTTTACGTAATTAAACATAAATATTTGAATGGGTAATGAGTTTGTGCTGTCTTTTATTTAGTATATTTTTTTACCTGTTAACCTTTTGTAATTGTGAATCAATACGGTAAGTGTATTTTTGTAAATGTTTAATTCATCTCGTCCGTTTTTTTATATATTTTTTTTAAGTATTCCGTCTTTGTAAAGAGTTGTATTTTAATTTTATATTTTTGTACGATGTATAATACAACTAAAACGAAATTATTTCCATTATATAAAAGTGTTTGTTTAATAATTGTATAACAAACATTTTTTTTATATTCATGCAAGAAGGCCTAAAACTTAGTAAACAGTGAATTAATAACTATTTATGTTTTTGATATCATAACATTTTACTTGCGGCCTATAATTTCTCTCAATACATTGTGAATTTATATATAATTGTGAAATTATAAATTCTTTTCCTATGTTGACACAAACAACAATATATAATAAAACCGAACATGTATAATTAAAATTTTAATTTTATATTAAATGAAGAATGGTCATAATTATTTTTAAATTAAAACGAATTATTTTGTAATGTCATTTTAAATCATAGTGATTTATTGAAGGTGACTATATTGTTAAATGCAATTATTTTATGTAAACTGAATAAATGTTTGTATTTTATTATATATAACATAAAAATTTAAACAACAAACTTATCAATGTACAGTCAGGTTTAATAATAAATAGATTGCATCTATTATATCTATATTAGGTACATATATACACTATAATATTTCAAAATGATAATAATGTAATAGTGCTTCTAATTTTAACTGTGTAATGAAATATAATTACCAATCTGTCCATAGTAATTATTATATTATGCAATGACGTCAACATAACTTATTCATGTGCTATATAATTATTAAGATGTGTTTCTATATGTGTACATCCATCATTCCAATAGTGTAATGTAGCTATGTTTTACTAGTGTACTTGTTGTTGTGTCTACGTATAATTATTAGTCTTAAATGGGAAGCTCTGAATAACATTTCACAGTAATGTAACATCTAATGTTACATTTAGAGAAAATGTTACATTCCGTGCTGCTTATGCATTTATACGGAAATTTTTTAGTTGTATGATTGGTAGCTTTTGTTTTTTATGAATTTATAGTTCTACGGTTTTACTCCAATTGTAAAATGTTACATTTTGAGAAATGTTACAATACAGTGCTGGCCTATATTGGAACAATTATTCGTACTTATTATAGTCTGGTGGTGAACATTTTCTGTTGCATACATATTTTGTATGTAGAAATGGTTACCATCAGAAAAAAATTAAGACACTGCCATTTAAGAAAGGGAGAGAGGATAGGTAGTCTTTGTAAATTTATAATATTAAAATATGCGTACATAGATAAATGTAATTATAGTGAGTAATTGATTTTTATATTTTATCTAATTCCCATTTAATTTTTACGTATTTTATATCTATGAAATAATTTAAGTAGTAACCGTGTTGCTATTTTTGTGATGACGGTAATATGGTTGACGGTGGAGTATATATTGGACTGCTGGTAAATTATTTCATACCTACTTGTATTATAAAAGTGATAGTCATAGCATTTTCTAAGAAAATTGTCTAATGTCCCAAGCAACGCCTAATAACTACTTGAATTTTGCCACATTTGTTCACGATCTAACTTTGAGAACTTTGTAAGTTAGACCTTTGCAAATTGTCCGAAGAATATGTTTTAAATACATTAACATTGAAGGGGCAAACTTCTAGGACGTACTTTCTTTGACCACTACTCCGTATGGATCAAGTTGCTAATAGTAATTTCTAAATATATTTAAGATGCCGTTGTGATTGGCACTCTAAGAATCGAGGTTTAAAGTTCATTATAAAGTAAGGCAAAAAGTAAGGCTCAGACTGATCGTCATAAATGTAAGTTGATGATAGATTGTATGTTAAGTAACAATGTAAAATTTATAGCGATTAAAATATTGATACTTATTCAATT